TAAACCTTCTTAATAATTAGTTATAGGTTTTTCAGATTTTCTGTGTGTTTTTTATGAGTCGGCTTTGGAAGATCATGTATTTTCTAGGCATTTGGACATTCACATTTTAAAAGACTCAACACCAGGTGTGTTGCAGAATGGCCCTCAGTTTGGATGCCTGTTTTTCTCATGGCTCGATTCAGATGGAATATATTAGGTGGGATTACTGTTTGCTGATATTGCATCCCCCTTAGCTGGTCACGTGGGAGGCTCCTATTTCTTTCTGAATCTCCTGCCTTCCTTAGAGGACCATGTTCTTTCTTTCCGATGTAAAGCCTGAAGAAAAGTTCTTTTAGTGAGACTCTCCTGGGAATAAATTCCCTCAGTTTTTATTTGTCTGGAAGTGTCTCAAATATATGTCTGTTTTTGAAAGAGAGTATTCCTAGGAACACAATCTAGGTTAACAGTTCAAGAGTATCTGCTGTACATGTTCAGTATCTATGAGATTCCTTTGTTGACTTTGAATAGTTTGTGCTGTGTCTAATAGTTGTCCCTTTGTATGTGTATTAGCTTCTGATTGCTGCTGTAACACATCACCACAAAGGTAGAGGCTTACAACAACACAATCTATGATTTTACAGTTTCAGAATCTCCTTTCTTGCCCTTTTCCAGGTACTGTTCTCATTCTCCCATTCTGTGGTTTCTGAATGCTTCCATCTTTAAAGCCAGCAATGACCAGACAGGTTCTCTTTATGTCACATCACTCTGATATTGACTCTTGGTAATCCTCACCCAAGGATATTTTTTCTACTGCTTTTTCAGAGAGTAGAAAGGAGGAAGGGAGGGGAAGAGAGAGAAACATGGATATGAGAAAGACACATCTATTGGTTGCCTACTGCACATGCCCAACTGGTACTGGAGATCAAACCTACAACCCAGGCCAATGTCCCTGACTGGGAGTGGAACCCGTGACCCTCTGGTACGTGGGGAGATACACTAACCACTGTGCAACCGGCTAGGGCCTGGCATTGTCTCTTATGCTTCCTTCTTCCACATTTAAAGACTCTGTGATTACATTGGGCACACCTGGATCACTCAGGATACTCTCCCTGTCTAAAGTCAGCTAATTAGCAACATTTGTTCCTCTTTGCCATGTAATACTACAGTCACAGATTCTGGGGACTAGGACACGGGCATCTTTTAGAGTCCGTTATTCTGCCTTCTATGGTAGATAATCTGAGTTAAGTCCTCTGGTTGCTTTCTTTTAAAATATATTTTTTATTGATTTTAGGAAGGAAGAGGGAGACAAAGATAGAAACATCAGCCGAAACCGGTTTGGCTCAGTGGATAGAGCATCAGCCTGCGGACTGAAAGGTCCCAGGTTCGATTCCAGTCAAGGGCATGTACCTTAATTGTGGGTATATCCCCAGAAGGTGTGCAAGAGGCAGCTGATCGATGATTATCTCTCATCGATGTTTCTGACTCCCTATTCTTCTCTCTTCCTCTCTATAAAATATATATATATATAATAGAAACATCAGCCCTGGCCAGTCTTGCTCAGTGGATAGAGCATCAGCCTGCAGATTGAAGGGTCCCGGGTTCGATTCCTGTCAAGGGCACATGTCCGGGTTGCGGGCTCAATCCCTAGTGGGGGGCATGCAGGAGGTAGCCAATCAATTATTCTCTTTCGTCGATGCTTCTATCTCTCCCTCTCCCTTTGTCTCTGAAATCAATAAAAATATATATATTTTTAAAAAGATAGAAACATCCATGATGAGAGAGAATCATTGATTAGATGCCTCCTGCACACCCCACACTGGAGATGGAACTCACATATGCCCTGACTTGGAATCAAACCATGATCTGGTTCATAGGATGCTCAACCACTGAGCCACACCAGCCAGGCTGGATGCTTTTACAATCTCTTTATTTTGCAATTTTTCTTTAGGTGTATAATTTTAACTGTTTATTATATACACAAGAAAAACACACATGTGTTCAATTAGAAAAATTGTCAACAAATTGAACACATTTATGTTATCAACAACCAGGACAAGAAATGGAGCTCTCCAAATCCTGACTTCTAACGACATGGATTACTTTTGCCAGTTTTTGTACTTCATGTAAAGGACTCACACAGTGTGTGCTCCTTTATATTTGTCTTTCTTGGCTCAACATATGTCTGTGAGATTCATCCAGGTGGTCGCTTATACCTCTATTTCGTGCATTTGCTTTGCTATGACAGTCTGTTGTGTTAATTAACCACCGTGTATTCATTCACTTGAGTATTTGAGTAGTTCCTAATATTTAGCTATCACAAGTAATACTGCTGAAAAAGATCTTGTAAATGTCTTTTTGAGCATTTATGTTGGGATGTATCTAAGAATGGGGTTGTTAGGCCATTTGGTATAGATGTGGTTTCTTTTTAACTTACCTTACTTAAAATATTATGCCTATTAAATGTATAGATTTGTGTCTTATAAAAAACTTTGAGTGTCGACCTATGAACCAGGAGTCACGATTCAATTTCTGGTCAGAGCACATGCCCAAGTGTAGGCTCAATCCCCAATAGGTGGTGTGCAGGAGGCAGCCGATCAATGATCTCTCTCATCATTGATATTTTTCTCTCTCCTTCCCCCTTCTTCTCTCTGAAATCAATTAAAAAAATTTTTTTTAAAACTCTCAGCAATTATTCTTAAACTATTGTCTCTCCTCTCACCCTCTTGAATTAAATGTATGATGTTAGAACTATTTTCTTTTCTTCCATTTCTTAAACTCTTTTTTATATCTTCCATCCTGTTTTCTTTGTCACATTCTGGGTGCTTTTGTCAAATCTCTGTATTTAAGGTTAGTAATTCTTCAATTGTGTCTAATCTGTCATTTAACCCATTCAGTGTTTAACATTGCCTTTTTTCATTTCCAAAAATTTTGTGGTTTTCTTTTATTTCCATAAACTCTGTTTGGCCCTATCTGAACTCTTTTGATAATTTATTCATGTTAATTTTTAAATTTCTATCTTTTCTTATATAAACATTCTATAATATTTATCTTTAGTTTGTGTCTGATGATTCCAATATCCAAGATTTGCATGGGGTCTAATTCTGTTGTTTTTGCTTCTGCTGACTCATAGGTGGCTTTTTTCCATGTATATTGTGGTGATTTTTTATTGTGAGCCCCTGTTTATGTGATGCTAATCTCTGTAAATCTTGGGGGCTGTAGTAGAGGATGCTTTCTGCAGAAAGAATGTATATTGCTTTTGCCCTCATTTGGGAGCCTACTAATCTGGAACCACATCAGCCTCCTTCGAGGGTCCTGGCCTAATGCACTGTCCACTGTGCAGTTTCTCCATGCTCTGACATAGGCATTGGCCTCGGGTAACCCCGTTTTGTGTTATTTAATGCTCACAGCTTTGGTTTCAGCTTCCAGGTTTTTGTTTTATTTGGGGACCCTTGGTGGTTTCCATTACCTTCAGTGAGAACAGTCACACATTGTATGATCAGCTTCACACAGATTGTAGTTGCTTGGTGAGTGTGTGGGGGATGGGATGGGGCAACCATCAGCTTATCTGGCATCTAGGAAGCTGGAAGTAGATGCCCTGCTTACACTCCGCCCCCCCCCCCCCCCCCCCCCCACACACACACACACCTGCCTTGAATCAATTTCTTTTCCATACTGGAGCCAGAGTGACAGTTTCAAAACACATAAGATCTCTCTCTTTTTTTTTTTTTTTTCTTACTCCCCTGCTTGAAAAACTTTGCTGCTTCTAAAATTCCAGTGATTTCTATTTTTAAAAAATATTTCTCTTTAGTTCTTTGTGAGATAAAATGAAGCCATATTCATACTTATGAGATCATGTGGCTTTGAGTATTTTTAGATGGAAAATATTACAAGCTAATGCCAGATAGAGACCTATTGGGGGTAATAAATGTCAGCCAGACCAACATATATTAAGAATAAAGTCTCTGGCCTGGCTGGTGTGGTTCAGTGGATTGAGCATTGTCCCATGCACCAAGAGGTCACTGGTTTGATTCCTGGTCAGGGTGCATGTCCAGATTGTGGGCTCCATCCCCAATAGTGGGATCAGTGTTTCTCTCATTGATGTTTCTCCTTTCTTTCTCCATCTCCCTTCCTCTGTCTCTAAAATGAATAAAAACATATTAAAAAAAAAAAAGACATATGTTAAGGTGAGGATTTTTTTAAATGTAGCTTTTAAAAAGAGAATAAATTCTCTGGGCAGCAAGTATGGGTTTTAGCCGCCTCATTTGTGGTATTTATTGGTAAGTTGCTCATCTGTCATACAGTGATGGTGTCATATAAGAGACTCGAGAGTCATCAGAAAGCAGAGGTGGCGTTAGACACCGTTGGTTCATGTAATAGCTGTTTATACTTGCTTTTTTCCTCCCTGGAAGAATCCACGTGATGTCAGGTTTCTCTCCATGAATGGATGTGGGCATCTTCCTAGGTTTCTCCTCCCAGTGCTGTGGCCTCTGAGAATAGGATGGGGGGGGGGGGGGAGGTACTGTACCTAAGGAGGAAAATGTGCCCATGTGTTTCTATCTTCTTATTCCTTGTGTTTCTTAGCTCCATGCTAAGAAGGATGTATGTCCTCTGCAATAATCTGAGGACCCACACCCAACATTGTGCATTGGTACCAACCACAGACACTCACATTTCAGTCAGAGTTCATGAGATGCAGGAACAGGTCAGCTGTAAACACAGAGTAAATGGGACCAAGGTGCTGAATATATGAGTGGGTTGTTGATGGTGTGGCCATTTTGGAAGCTAAGAAAGCTTTCCTTTCTGTAGCTTCTCTCTAGGAAGATGCAAACTGTAGCATGTTGTAACTGGACAGAGAGAAAGGAAAAGGAAAAGTATGCCCTGTGCCATCCTCTAGGGAAGGGGAAATGTAGACGGCAGGACTACCATGACTTCTGACTTCAAGACCCGGCTAATGTGGGCTGCCTTTGGTACCTTGTGCCTGAGTTTCCAGTCTTCTTTCTCTTTCCTATTTTTTCATGCAGAATTAAGTTGGATAGGCTTTCTGAAGAAAACACAGTGTTGAAAAATGAGCTGGGCAGAAGGCAGAAAGAGCTTGAATCTACAGAAAGGACAAATGATGCACAAAGGTAAGAGCCCTGTCTCATTGGCTCACTCAGAATTTACAGCCTATGATACACATTACTCTTTGTAGAATGAGGGTAGAAGGCATTGCTGTAGAAAGTGGGAGATGTTCAGCCGGGACCGGTTTGGCTCAGTGGATAGAGCGTCGGCCTGCGGACTGAAAGGTCCCGGGTTCGATTCCGGGCAAGGGCATGTACCTTGGTTGCGGACACATCCCCAGTAGGGGGGTGCAAGAGGCAGCTGATCAATGGTTCTCTCTCATCGATGTTTCTAGCTCTCTATCCCTCTCTCTTCCTCTCTGAAAAATCAATAAAATATATTAAAATATATATATATATATTAAAAAAAAAAAAAAAAAGAAAAGAAAAGAAAGAAAAAAAAGAAAGTGGGAGATGTTCACAGAGCAGTCCCGCATTCCAGAAAACCCTAAGTGGGTGAGCCGTGCTGACCTCTGACCAGCCTGGACGTGCATGAGAGGGCTCAGGCCTCCCTCCTTCCAAATGACGGCAACCTTCCTGCATCTGTCTCAGCAGTTTGGGTAGAAAGTGCGAGCATGCAGCACAGCCATCACCACAGTGAGCAGCTCAGCACAGGCCCGCTTGCCTCTGCAGTCGGTGTTCCCATGCTTCTCACCCTGCAGAAACACTCCGCATTGCGCTCAGGGCGGCGGGGAGCAGCAAGCGCTTCGGTAGGGAAAGTGGTGCTCCAGAGGCCTTTCCGGGCAAGGAAAACCTGTTCACGCATCACCTGATAATGGTTTCAGCTGTGCTTTTCTCCAAGCTTCGTTTCTGTCTGTTTTAGTGAGTCACAGTCGGGGTTAGGGAGGTGGGAATGGAGAAGAGGTGCAAAGCCTGAGCACTGAGGCAGGAGAGACAGTTGGTGCGGTGGACACAGACAACCTGCTGCTGGATTTCTGCGTTCATGCCCGCAGCCCTGTCTTATCCAAGGACGGTGGGTTGACCTTTTTTAGCTCTGACATTGGAAATGAGCTCAGCTTTAAAAAGCTGAGAATGTGGTACTGTTTTGATTAAATTGCCATGATTAATTAAAATATGGAATCCAGAAGAGGTAGGCAAATAAGTGATTGCTATCACATCATAGCAATTCTGAAATCTGAAAGTTTTTTTTAATATATTTTATTAATTTCTTACAGAGAGGAAGAAGAGAGGGATAGAGAGTTAGAAACATCAATGAGAGAGAATCATCGATCAGCTGCCTCTTGCACACCCCCTACTCGGGATGTGCCCGCAACCAAGGCACATGCCCTTGACTGGAATCGAACCTGGGACCTTTCGGTCCGCAGGCCGACGCTCTATCCACTGAGCCAAACCGGTTTTGGCTGAAATCTGAAAGTTTTTCACCCAGGAACCATTTTCCCCTACATTTGCTGTCCGCCCCCTTTGACAAGAGACCTTAGTAGACATAAGGCCCTTTGGGTTTTCATACTGTTGGTAGTGAACAGTCGCATGCTGTGCCCGAGAGATATTCATGGGTGCAGCTGAGGGACGTTACAGAGGGTTTTGCTCTGTAACACTGGCAGCGTCCGCTGGTTCTGAGGATTGGGACCTGCTTGGACCCGCAGCGGCCATTGTGCACAATAGTAACAGAGGTGGCTGTGGGTGCGAGAGCAGGTGTGAGAGCGGTTTATGGCCACAGCTCCAAGGTGATGACGGGAAAAGAAACTGGATGGCCAAAGTGATATTGTTAATTGTGCTTTTCAACAGGAAGGAAATTGAGCTTCTAAAGAGAGACAAGGAAAAGGCCTGCTCTGAAATGGAAGAGCTCAACAAACAGGTTCAGTATCGACACCTGGTGCTACCCTCCTTTCCTTTTCTTCATTATTCTGAAATAATTTCAAACTTACTAAGGGGAAATAGAGAACTTTTTTTCTGAAAGATCTGAGTGAGTTGCTGACCCATCACCCCCTCCTCATTCCTCAAAAGTCAGGACATGAATGTGGTACAGACCCCGCCTGAGTCTCCTCCTGTTCACTTTGCCAGCGCCCCACTCATTCAGAATCCCGCTTGGCTTTTAGTCACCTTCAGTCAGTCCATCCTTGGTTTTAGGACCTTGGCACTTTTGACAATAATAAGCAGTTATTTTGTATGAAGTTCTTCAGTTTAGTTTGTCTGACGTTTCCTTGTGATTACATTTAGATAATGCATCCTTGGCAAGAATATAAAGAAAATGATACTGTATTCTTCTCATTTCATCCTATCAGGGGTACAATGATTTGCCTCATTACTAATAATTGTTGGTTAGGTGGTGTTGGTCAGGCTACTCCACAGTAAAGTTACTTTTCCCTGTGTAATTAATGAGCATTTTATGGGTGGATACTTTGATATTATGTAAATATTCTGTTCTTCATCAAACTCTCACCCACTTACCTTAGCATCTTTTGTTTCTTGGTGGCCTTGGTTATTACTCTAATGATGGCCAATTGGTGACTAACTCCACCATTCCTTTTGTTTTATTATTTGGTATCCAGTGTAAGGAAGAAATTTCTCTTCTCCCCATTTGTCTATTTATTTATATCATTATATTTCTATCATAGGGCCCTGTTTTATTCAATGGGTTATAATGTGTTACCATCATTTACTGATGGCTTATAGACAGCTGTTATCTCCTATGTCCTTACATGGTCTTCCCTGGTTGGTATCTGTCCTAATCTCTTCTTATTAGGACACCATCATGTTGGATTAGAGCCTACTCGAATGACTTCATTTTACCTTAAACACCTCTTTTTTTTTTTTTTTTAACACCTCTTTAAAGACCCCATTTCTTTCTTTCTTTTTAAAAATATATATATTTGATGTCAGAGAGGAAAGGAGAGGAAGAGAGAGATAGAAATCTGATCAGTGATGAGAGAGAATCATTGATCGGCTGCCTTCTGCACGCCCCACACTGGGGATGAAGCCCACACCCCGGACATGTGCCCTGATGGGGACTCAAACCGTGATCTGGTTCATAGGTCAGCGCTCAACTACTGAGCCATGACGGTCGGGCTAAAGACCCAATTTCTAAGTATAGTACTGTTACATTCTGAGATACTGAGAATTGTGGCTTCAACATATGGATTTTGGGAGGACACAAATGAGCCTATTACAAACATCACAACCAATCTATTGACATGGATACAACCCATGGATCGCATTCCAATTTCACCAGTTTTACTTCTGTACGTGTGTGTATATGTGTGTGTGTGTGTGTGTGTGTGTGTGTGTGTGTATTCAATGCTACACAGTTTTATCCCCTGTATAGGTCCATATATCCACCAATAGTCAAAATACCAAATAGTTCCAATTCCACAAGGACCCTTCATGTTTTTAATAACAATACCTAACTTCTTGCCTCCCTACCTCAGCCCCTAACCCACTCTGAAGGTGAGACTTCCTAGTTGCTATTTCAATTCAGTGCATTTGCACATCCATCTAATGAGCATTTGTTTAGCACCCACTATCTGCTGGGTGGTGGTTATTTAGAAAAAGCAAAACACACAATTTAATCAATTTCTATACCCTACAAAAAGCTACATGTATGTGTTTAATGAAAAAGATCAGAGGGTATTTTGAGGAAACATATATCTCCTTTAGGGTTTTTCCTTTAAATTGCTTAAAATAATGTTAGTAATAATTGGAAGAAATGAGAAAAACATGAGAGGTCTTCAGAACAGTGGTTTGGATCTTCATGGCATATAACCACCTCTGGTTTTCCAGACGTGGCTCCTTTTTTCTAGGGGAGAGGAGAGTCTCCTGTGCTTGCACTGGCTAGATCATTCTATGCACTGCAGGGTGCTGAGTGCCTCACCCGCCAGCGGCCAGTAGCAGTCCTCTTACCAAGGTGGTAACCAAAACTGACTTAAGACATTATAAGTGTCCCCTGGGAAACAAAAGCATCCTGGTGGAGAATCACTGAATTGAGCTGTTGGTTAAAAAAATAACTTTTTCATCCCTTTTGTTCTAGAGTCAGAAATGCAAGGATGAATTGCTTCAGCTCAACCACAGGGTCCTTCAGCTGGGAGAGGAGGCCTCTAGCCAGCAGACCCACATTGAGAACAACGGCATCACCATTCAGCTGTTAACACAGAGGCTGGAGGAGGCCGGACGCCGGGAGGAGTTGCAGGTGAGTGGTGGCCGGGCCCGGGGGGTAGAGAGGAGTGGGCACGTTAGAGAGGCAGCCTAACACCTATCGGGAGCAGCCCTAATGTGCCAAGAGGTAGGCACTGCCCGCAGGTGACTGTAAGGCACTTAACAGGCAAGCCCTGGAACATATGTGGACTTCAGCAGCTTTTGCAAACAGAAAGGAATTACAATCTGATAGTAAAAGAGTAAAGTTGTCAGCCTCTCTGGAGGACAGTTGAGCAAAATATGTATCAAGAGCCTCAAGAATGTCAGTATCCTCTGACTTCATGATTCTTCTCGTGGGCATTTTACTGGAGTATTGTGGGAAGAGTTAGCTGGAAGTATTTTCATTGCTGTGGTATTTGTAATAGCAAAACAGAATTGGAATCTGCTTGAATCATTCATCAACAGTTTACTGAATGAGTCAGTAAATTATGGTATAGTTGTTAAAATCCATGTTTTCAAATAATAGTTAATGTCACGGGGAAATGAAAGCTATAATGAGTTGAGCACAGCAGCTGGCACTGTGCCAGTCTTATGGTAGAGATGCTGTGTGGGGTGGATGACAGCAAATGGCAGATGTGGTTCTGGCTGCTGGGAGCATGGGTGATTTAAATTTTGCATTGTTTGCCTTTCTGTAATTTTCTGACATGTCTACATTAGACATATATCAAATTGCTATTTCTTACACTCAGGAGGTTGATTATTTTTAAAACAGGGTGACCAAATTAAAAAACTTGAACTTGAACTTGAACTCATAAATCAGGAATGCCAGAGCCTGAGACTGTCATGGTCACAGCTGAGAGAGACCCTTGAAGAAAGTCGAAACCAGGTGGGTGTACATGCTGGCTGAGACGCTGGGTCCCGTCTGGGAAGGGGCATGTGATGGCCTGAGATGTTGGGTCCTTCCTGGGAAGGAAAGTCAGTGCAGGTCAATGCTGACAGAGCGTTGCTAGGATGATCCATCCCAGAGCAGTTTTTGGGCCAGCCTGAGATTGCACAGCTAGTCGGGCACTTACCAGGCCCAGGACTGAAGTCAGGCCTAGTCCAGAGTTGGGTTGAACTTGAGCAGGTGTGTGAAGAGCTGTATCTCAGTAACATGTCTTTGGGTGCCCTTTATAGAACCAAGGAGCCAGGTGAGCTTCAGGGTAGCCTCTGAGGGGAGGTGGTATCAGATCCAAGCAGCCAGCCAGACCTTGGGGCAGAGTAGACCCCATGGGTAAGGATCTCCATGCCCTCATCTCACATTATTTACACACATGGCCCTGTCTGCTGGCTCCCACATTCTCTCCTGCTCCAGCATTTATCCAGCACTTGCCAGGCTTATGAGGTGCCGAGACAGGGAGGCAGGGAGCTCGCAGCTGTGAATAGGGACCTCAGGGTGCCCTGAGTGTGAGGTGCAGGGACACAGAGTAGGTAGCCAGTCCTTCCTGGGAGAGCCAGGCTCAAGAGAGGAGAGAATGACAGGCGTGTGACAGTAGGAGGTATTCTGAGTCATGTGGGGTGGACTTGGAGGGCCAGGGGCTGTAGGGAGGAAAGAGGGGCCGGGGGAGAAACCACCCAAGCCTGGTATGGAAGGGGTCTTAACCACGTGGCCTCCGTCCCAGCACCGGCCTCACCTGAGTGCCTGCCTCTTTGGAGCCTTTGCAGGTTCCCCCACTGGCTTTTGGCCCCACAGTGGGACTTGGCTGGTCGTGGTTGCCCGGTGTGAGAGGCAAGATGCCCAAAGCTGCAGAGGGGTCAGCCTGGGTGTGCGGCCCTCCAAGGCTGTGGGGAGATCCTGTAGGCTGTCAGCTTTCCTGCTGTGAATAAGAACTTTCCCAGAGATACCGCTGTAGTTGGGAGCTCCTGTCTCTCTCTCTCTCTTTTTTTTTTTTTTTTTAAATCAATCTTTATTTTTCATATTATTACAAAGGTTCCTCATTTCTTCCCCCCTCCCCCAGGTTCCCACCCCACCCTCTGCCCTTTCCCCATCCCCCATTGTTCGAATCCTTAGGTGCACAGTCTATTTTCAGTCTCTTCCCGCATCTACCACTTCCCCCCCCCCCCCCCCCCCCCCCCCCCCCCCGCCCCAGAATTGTCAGTCCACTCCTCTCCCTTATCTCTGATTCTATTATAATCAACAGTTAACATTGTTCATCGGGTTTTTTAATTTCCTTGTTTTCTCTTTTGTGTGTGTGTGTGTGTGTGTGTGTGTTTTTAATTAATAAACTTTTATATTTTTAAGAATAAATTCTGGGAAAAAAAAGAAAAAAATAAATTCTGAAATCTAATAATTTTAAACCTTGTTTTTTCTGCCCTGGGAACTGAGAAGCAAACTTGTTTACATGTAAACTTGCCCTTAGGCTATCAAAAGGCGTAGCCATTCAAATGTAAATGAACACATTGTTTAAAGATAGCTGCTGGCTGGAATTGGATTACCTGTTCTGGGTGGGAAGGGCTTGTCCTCCCCTTTCTCCATTAAAATTAAGGTGTTAGCTTTAAAACCTCTTTTTGGCAAGAGACTTTAAACTTTCAGAACTTTACATTTTTCAGGTAGTAAATCAATTACTTAGCATTTTCTCAAGTCAATAATACCTCCACATGCCCAAGGATACACTTCACACAAAAGATACTTCCAAATAGATCAACCAACCTCATCCAGACCCCACACAAGGCACTCACAGATCAACACCCCAGCGCTACAATAACTCAACTCATCCAGATCTAAGCCTTCATCACTTGATTCAGCAGACCCTCAAGTTCCCGCAAAAGTTTCCAGCCATGTCTGAGAAGTAGCCCAGGCCCGGTTGCTCCGGGCCTGGCCTCTGTTGCTCTAGTCCGCTCCACAACTAGCTGCTCTGGATCTGGCCGCTGCCGCTCCGGGCCCGGATGCTGCTGCACCAGGCCTGGCTGCTCCCGACCCGGCTGTTCCATGCCTGGCTATTCTGTGCCCGGCTGCTCCCGACCCGACTGCTCTGGGCCTGGCCACTCCGGGCCTGGCCGCTCAGGGCCTGGCTGCTGCTGCTCTGGGCCTGGATGTTCCAGGCCTGGCCGCTCCGGGCCTGGCTGCTCCTGACCCGGCCGCTCCGGGCCTGGCCGCCCCCGGCCTGGCTGTTTTGGGCCCGGCTGCTGCTGCTCCTGGCCTGGATCCGTCTCTGTTTTTAAGTCTGAAAGGGCCTTTGAGAAATAGCCTTGGCCAGTTTGAGCCCTTTGAGACTGAGTCAGCCAGCGTCACAGGCAGAAGTTACCTTACTTAATCTGCTGCAGCACGAGCTGGTTTCCACTTCTTTGTGACTTAGAAGATTTCCCCCAAGACCACACTGATGAAAGCCGAGAGGAGGGAATCAGAGGCATCTACAGAGCAGTGAAGGCACCTCTGGGTGTGCTGGGGTGAGGATGGGTGTGGAGGTATGTGGAACGGACTCATTATTATCACTGGTGCATCCACAGATGGTTCTGAGGAGGAACGTCTAGGACAGTTGGCAAACTCATTAGTCAGCAGAGCCAAATATCAACAGGACAACGATTGAAATTTCTTTTGAGAGCCAAATTTTTAAACTTAAACTTCTTCTAATGCCACTTCTTCAAAATAGACTTGCCCAGGCCATGGTATTTTGTGGAAGAGCCACACTCAGGGGGCCAAAGAACCACATGTGGCTCGCGAGCCAGTTTGCCGACCATGGGTCTCGGAGGTCACAGAGCCAAGCAGGTGGGACAGGCAGTAGCAGGGGGGCAGCTTGGATGAGGCCAAGGGAGGTCCAGTGCTGTTTATTTTTAAAAAACATACTGACCTGCCGAAACCGGTTTGGCTCAGTGGTAGAGTGTCGGTCTGCGGACTGAAAGGTCCCAGGTTCGATTCCGGTCAGGGGCATGTACCTCGGTTGCGGGCACATCCCCGGTAGGGGGTGTGCAAGAGGCAACTGGTAAATATTTCTCTCTCATCGACGTTTCTAACTCTCTATCTCTCTCCCTTTCTCTCTGTAAAAAATCAATAAAAATATATTTAAAAAAATAAAAACATGCTGACCAAATCCAGCATTCTGTTGGTCCAGCCTGGATTCAAGGGGAGGACACGGAGCCCACCTGTCAGTGGGTGACGGCACAGTCCCCACCCGTGAATGAGGGAGAGGCTCAGAGCCCCATCTCCATGGGGCAGAAGGAGCAGCCTGTGCACTCCGAAGCCGGCCCAGCTCCATCTGCGTCCCCCCTCCGTGAAGAGGAAGATGGAAAAGACAGGAAATGACTCAGCTTGTGGAGGCTTAGGGGCTAATTGCCGTGTAGATAGTCGCAGGGACTCCCTGCTCTCCCCGAGGTAAAGGTCCAGGTCAGGCACCAGATTCAGAGAACAGGAGGGTGGGCGTGGAAGCGCAGTGAGGAGCGTAAGGCAGTGTGTCCAAAGGAAGCGTGCGCAGTGCATCTCCCTGGGCTGACTCGTGTCCTGGGGAACCGCTGAGTCAGACGGTCCTCCGGGGATGTGAGGCGACGCGGCGACTGTTGCGAGGAACCTGGGCTGGAGGTTCGCCGCCGCTCACTCTTGGGTGGCACCTGCCCTTTCTCCCTGGCCACGTGTCCACTTTGAGACCTGCCCTAAGCGGGACATTTTTGAAATTCTCGTAAGAGTGTCTTTGAGCCAAACTGATGACTTATATCAGGGGAGCAAAGATACCCTCCTGAGCGTGGCATCTGATAGGGCCTCAGAGGGCTGACGTGGCCAGTTCTTTTAGGGGCCCAGGGAACGGTGCGTGCTCTAGATGAAGCCTCGGAGCCAGAGTGAATTAAATGGCGTTTGGATCTGACCTCCCGATTGCTTAGTAAGAACACTGGCCACATGATACCAGTTCAATCATGAGAACTCAGCATAACCCCATGCGTTCTGGCAGTCCTCTGTGGCTGGAGAGCTTCATCCCACAGCTGCCCCCAAGCTTCCTCCTGCTCTCATTGTGTGCTAGTTACCCCAGTCTCAGAAGGGTCAGTTCTCCACTTAGATGAGTACCGTATCTGGCTTGCATGGGCTATAAGTATTTAAATAATCAGGCTCCAGCTGAAACCGGTTTGGCTCAGTGGATAGAGCGTCGGCCTGCGGACTGAAGGGTCCCAGGTTCGATTCCGGTCGGGGGCACGTGCCTTGATTGCAGACACATCCCCAGTGTGGGGGTTCAAGAGGCAGCTGGTCGATGTTTCTCTCTCATTGACATTTCTAACTCTCTATCCCTCTCAATTTCTCTCTATGTAAAATCAATAAAATATATATTAAAAAAAATAATCAGGCTCCAATGAGGCATGCTGGAAGGTAAAACTGGACAGAATATACCGTGATCTCCATGGATCTAAAGTGAAGTCTCAGTGTCATTCTGAGGTTCACAGCTTTTCCTCTCACTGCAGCTCTGGCCGCCTGGGACTTGTGCTGCCAGAATTCCAGTGAATAGGCCCTTTACAGATTCTGCATTCTGCTGCAGGTGCAGGGACCACGAAGGCGAGAAGAGGCCTTACCTGTGCTTCCAGTTGTAGGGTGTCTTAAACAGTCCTCGTGTCTGACAGTGACCCTGTAGCTCTCGGCAGTCGCTCCAAAGCTGTTGTGGCCTTTTCCCCCGTACAGCTGCACGGAGCCCACCCGAGTCCTCACCAGCCCTCGCAGGACGCCCAGCAGCTGCAGAAGCCGACGGAGCAGAGCCCTGCGGGCCGCGGGGCAGAGCTGCAGCGGCTGCTGGGATGGGAGCAGCGGGCGGCTCAGCAGCTCGGCCAGCAGTGCAGCCTCCGGCAGGAGGAAGCGAGGCGACAGCGGGTGAGTGGGGACAAGAGCCCCGAGGTTCCAGCGATGGTGACGGTGTGTGTGTGTGTGTGTGTGTGTGTGTGTGTGTGTGTGGATTATGGGGAGAGTGGGAGGAAGAGAAGTTGGATCGTTGGTCACTCAGCCTAAAACTATCCTAGTGCCAAGGGGAAGATGGCCCAACAGCCATCCAAACTCCATGAGAACTGGCTGTACAGAAGCCGTGAGGCCCCGATTGCCACTGTGAATAATAAGGAGTCTTACCAGATGCTGAGGAAGGACGGACCCGGGAGGTGAGAGGTGCAGGGAGCCCCCCTGGGAAGGCGTCTCCCGCCCTCTGGGAGGCACTGAGTGAGCTGATCCTGAAGGTGTCTTCAGCCTGGGGCCCCAGATGCTCTCAGCTGCAGTCTGCCCGAGGCTAGACGTCAGGGGCCACACACTAAATGCTTACGGGGCTGAAAGGTGAGGCAAAGGATGCTGCCCCTCGGCTGTGTAGTCTTCCCATTTCAATGCTCCTGATTTCAAAAAAAAGCTAGAAACTAGACTTTTATATAAGCACGCCCAGTTTCAAAATGATGCACCTAATTAAAAAAAAAAAAAAAAAAAAAACAATCTTAAACTGTTATGCAAACTGAAAAGAAAACGCACCAAGGGCAGATAAGGAATACAGAAGCAACCAATTCATGCGTCTCACATCAGTATTTCTCTTTCTCTCCCCATCCTCCCTCCCTTCCACTCTCGTTCTAAAAAATAAATGGGAAAAAACTCACATGAGGATTTAAAAAGGAAAAAAAAAAAAAAAAAGAATAGTTCCTTAATCAAGTAAGGATTTAAAAAAAAAAAAAAAAAAAAAAAAGGATTGGACAGAGGGCTGGGGAGGATGGCCGTGGAACAAGAGGTCAGCAAGGTAGCAGGATTGACTTGAGGAGCTGGCTGTGTGCCAGGCATCTAGAGATGTAGATAGAGGGTCACTGCCCCAAAGGGCAGCAAGACACAGTGGCTCAGAGCACTGCCTGCAGAGCCTGGGACCCGGCTCCCCCACCTCCCAGCTGAGTAGCCCAGTTAACCTTTCTGGGCTCCAGTTTCCTCATCTGTAAATTCCGATATCAGCTTAAAGCATTATTGTGAAGCATCAGTGAGTTCACACTTCTAAAGTGCTTGAATTGTCTGTGGGACGTGTGCACCCTGTGTAAATGTTTAAAAGCCTGAGAAAGTAACTTGATCCTGAGTAACACAGTTGATGGCATAGGTTCAAGGCAGGAGGGATGGGGAGATCAGGAACCAGAGGGCAAAAATCAGAGCAAGACTTGAAAGGTGGGTAAAATTTAATGTTTGTAAAGTATAAACTCGACAACAAATAACCTTTCAGCATTATGTAGAAGTGTTCAGCTAGAGATAATGATAAACTATGATAGATTAATGACAAAACAAAGAAATTTGATCAGAAATTCTTTAGGGATACTTAGTCTGCTAATTAAAAAAAACAAAACAGCCGAAACCGGTTTGGCTCAGTGGATAGAGCATCGATCTGCGGACTGAAAGGTCATAGGTTCGATTCGGTCAAGGGCATGTGCATTGGTTGCGGGCACATCCCCGGAAGGGGGTGTGCAAGAGGCAGCTGGTCGATGTTTCTCTCTCATCAACGTTTCTAGCTCTCTATCTCTTTCCCTTCCTGTCTGTAAAAAATCAATAAAATATATTTTAAAAAGACAAAACAACAACATCCTTTTATTGATTTCAGAGAGGAAGGGAGAGGGAGAGAATCATTGATTGGCTGCCTCATGCACCCTAGTAGGCATGTGCCCTTGACTGGAATCGAACCCTTTAGGCTGACACTCTGTCCACTGAGTGAAACCAGATAGGGCAGTCTGCTAATTCTTGAACTACAAAAATAATAGTTTTGTGGTTTGTGACAGAACATTTTTTTTAACTTACTTTATACAGAGGAAAGGTTATCAATAGTTACTTTCATATTTGCACAGTTTAGCTAATTTCCACTCTAAAGCCTGAGAAGATTAAATGTAAATGTAAAATATTGGCCAAAACCGGTTTGGCTCAATGGATAGAGCGTCGGCTTGGGGACTGAAGGGTCCCGGGTTCGATTCCGGTCAAGGGCATGTACCTTGGTTGCGGGCATATCCCCAGTAGGGGGTGTGCAAGAGGCAGCTGATCGATGACTCTCTCATCGATGTTTCTAACTCTGTATCTCTCTCCCTTCCTCTCTGTACAAAATCAATAAAATATTAAAAAAAAAATGTAAAATATTGGTGTGTAACCTTGTTTTGTGGCAGGAAGAACATAAAAAGCAGCTTAAAGATGCAGAAGAGCAGGTGGAAGAGGTGGAAATGATTTTGAAGAACATGGAAATGCTCCTGCAAGAAAAAGTGGGTGAGCTGGGAGAGCAGGTGAGTGAGGGGCTTCTTCAGTACACACCAATATCCTCTTTTAGAACTCTTTTTTTGTCTTTTTATGGGTGGTCATTTGGAACCAACGAATCTGGGGCTCTGCCTAAACTTCATTTTTAGAATCTGATTATAGAATACTAGAGGCCGGACGCCCAAAGATTCGTGCAAGAATGGGCTTTCCCCTGGCTGCTGGCACCACCTTCGCTCCAGCCTGAAGCCACCTTTCCACCTTCCCTCTCTGCCCAGAGGCCCTGAGCAGCTGGGGCAGTGCAGATGCCACTTTCATCGCCATGGTGATGATGCAAGCATTCTGCCCCACCCCTGGCTGCTGTGGTGGGCGGGCAGTCCCGGGAAGGGAGTGGATGGGAGCAAGACAGACCCTTGTGTTGAGGGCTGATTTTCAATAGATCACATGAGGGAGCTGCTCTGCTATGTACAAGACCCCGGCCCAGAAGCAGGCTGTGAACACATGGCTTAGCACCAGGGGCTGATGGGGGCCAGCTGGCGGGGAGTGGGCGGGGGGAGAAGAGATCGTAGCCAGTTGGCTGGCCACAGGAGGTTGGCTGAGGGAGTGCACTGACCACCAGGGGGCAGCTCCTGCATTGAGCATCTGCCCCTTGGTGGTCAGTGCACATCATAGTGACTGGTGGACCAGTCATTATGGTCATATTGTTGTAATGGTCGCTTAGACTTTTATATAGAGACTAGAGGCTTGGTGCGTGAAATTCATGCGCAGGTCCAGTCCCTAGGCCTTTCCTGCAATCAGGGCCATCTTCCCCGGCTGTGGCAGCCAGTCTCGCCCCGCCCCCCCTCCTGTTACCACCCCCCTGGTTCCCCATTTGCCATCGGGCTGTCAGAGCCTAACGACCAGGGAAGGGACCAAGAGGTCAGCCGTTCCTGCCTCTTTGCCAGCCCCCACTGCGGGTCGCCCTCTGTGTGTGGGATGACTGGCAGGGTGGGGGGCTTGGCCTGGCACTGCTGCCACCCACCCTCGGGTCCCTGTTTGCCATCGGACCAGCAGGGGGGAAGGGACCAAGAGGTGGTCAGTGCACCTCATACTGACTGGTCGAGCAGTTATTCTGGTCATTCTGCTGTTATAGTTGCTGGGCTTTTTATTATATAGGATAGATAATTAGAAGCTATTGGAAGAATTTAAGTAAGAGAATGAGCTTATATATATTTTTATTTTTTATTTTTTTAAGAAGGAAAGGGAGAGATAGAAACATCAATGATGAGAGAGTCATTGATGGGCTGCTTCCTGCACACCCCACACTGTTTTGTTAGTCCTCACCTTGCCTGGACCCACTCCATCTCCTCCTTCCTCCATGTGCCCTGCCTGGGAATTGAACCGTGACCTCATGGTTCATAGGTCAATGTTCAGCTAAGCCATGCCTGCCAGACTGATGTATTTAAAAATAGATATATCATGATTGGGGCAGGGAGACAGTCTGGGCTGCTAGAGAAAAAACAAAGATCACAGCGCCCTGAGCATCTAGTCTCACCCAGCCAGCAGTTAAGTCTGTGGAACACCTGCATGGAAAGTGCTGAGCTAGAGGTGAAGAGACACAAAGGCAAATGCCAGCTACTCCAGAAAGTTCTATTGTAGTGCTAGAAGTTAAATGTGAGAACCTGGAGAAACATTTGTATTACATAGTAATCCAGTATGGATTATCTGAGGGCTCCTAAGCCGACGAGACATTTGTCACCTCTTGTTCCTGAATCTTCGCGGAAGGTTCCCAGGCTGTCACTCTGAGGCCCGTCCCTCTCCTTGTCTACCTTCCTGGCTTCGCTGTCAGCCACTAACCCTCTGTCTCCTTGGTCCTCACTTTTCCGCCCAGTGTCAGATTCTGATCCCTTATAATCACTCATTTGCACGCTGTGTGCTTCCTCACCTGGCAAAACCAGTTCTAGTTTAATCTTGTGGCTTTTGCCCACCAGCGCTTCCCACACCCCTGGCCTGCTGAGCCCTCTCCCTCCCCTTCTGACCTCCAGCACCTCTTCTCTCCTCTCAGCTGTCCCCGAAGTCCTCAAGCGTCCAAAGCGAATGTGCACTGCCCTCGGGCCATGCACACCTGGACCCAGCCTGTGTCACCTTCCCGGGACCCACCCCTGCCCTTCCTCTGGGACCCTGGCTGCCACCCAACACAAACCTTAGGAGGCTTGATCTTACCAGTTCCCTGCTCTTCACAGAAATACCTTCAAAGAGTTGTCTTTGGTTCACTTGCCATTGACTTAGATCCAAAACCTCCTCTCCGCACCCACCCCATCTCCATCTCCATCTAGTCCACCAGCTCCGCCTTCAGAGTGCAGACAGCCCACCCCCTACCTGGCATGTCTTATTTCCTCCTCTAATCCATTACCAACCCCACAGCAGCAAACAATCCTCACCAAGTGTGGTTGAGGTGCTGGCCTCCTCTGCCTAGAACCCTCTTCTCCAGGTGTCTCTCAGAGTAAAAGGCAGAGCTTTTACAGTGACCTCAAAGGTTCTGCAGGATCTGTGCCCTGCACAGGCAGCCTGGTAGGGGATTTCCTCGTCACAGTCCTGCTGGCCATCCTGTCACCTCAGCATGCACCCTCTGACTCTTCCTACTGATTCCTCCCTCTGCCTGGAATGTTCAGGATTTACTCCCGTGCCTTTTCAGACCCGTTCAAATGTCAGACAGACACCCTCTGTTCTAACCAAAATGGAACCCCCCTCAGCTGTCTGGATTTCCCCTTAGCACTTCTCACCACCTGACACACACTGTTTCTGCTGTCTCTGTCCACGAGAATATGTGCTCCATGAGAAAGGTTGCTGCTAGAGCAATGAGGGGTGCTCTGAATGAATTCAGTGTTGACTTAAGAAGCACAAGGTCAGGACATCCTTCTTTGTATCTTGAACAAGGACTCATGACTAGAGATCTTGTGCCCCCATCTCTGAAATCCCAGTGGCTGTTGTGTGTGACCGCACTGGTCTGTGAGGATGAGGGCAGTGCCTCAGTGTCCTGGGCGACAAGATGGGCTTGTGGAGCACACTTGGATGAACACCACGTTTTTGGTACTTTTGACAATTTCCTTGTTTTCCATTGCCCAGAATAGTTCTTTTTGAGACCTGTGGTTTTGGCCTTTCATGTCTTCATTTCATGGTAAATTCTATGATAAAGGTGACTTATTCTCTATCAGATAGTTCCTGAGATTCTCAATTTCCTGTTTCATGCCAAGATAACAAAAATTGCTGACATCCAAGAGCGTCGGTCTGCGGACTGAAGGGTCCCAGGTTCAATTCCGGTCAGGGGCATGTGCCTTGGTTGCGGGCACATCCCCAGTGGGGGTGTGCAGGAGGCAGCTGATTGATATTGCTCTCTCATCAGTGTTTCTGGCTCTCTCTCCCTCTCCCTTCCTCTCTGTGAAAAATCGATAAAATATATATTTTTTTAAAAATTGCTGACATCCAATGTTTGTATCAGATCTGTAAGAATCCAAAATCTGGTTTGAATAACGATGGAAGAGCAAAGGGCTGTGTGGCATTTCTGCACTGGGTTCACAGCAGAGTACGGCTTTCTCCCCTCGCTAGTTTGAGAAGAACACCAAGTCCGATTTGCTGCTCAAGGAGCTCTACGTGGAAAATGCTCACCTGGTGAAAGCACTTCAGGTCACTGAGGAGAAGCAGCGAGGGGCCGAGAAAGAAAACCGAATCTTGGCAGGAAAAGTAAGAGCTCTCAACAAACTAATCTGTAGAATAACTTCAGCATCCTTCTCCGTGTAGATTGCTTGTTTTCCTGAAATTCATTTTGGAAGAGCATCTTTTAAAATTAAGCCACTGTGATGCCATAATTTTCTATGGTTCGTTGGCCATGCACTCCTGGACATATGAGCCAGCCGCTGGGCAAACAGACATGCTGGAAAAGCCTACATCTTTATTAGTAGTCCAAGGTCGTTTCCACTTGTGCTTAGTTACTGGTGAAACCAGATCATGGGGGCTCTCAGCAAAGAATGACTAAAAGACATTGATAAAGTAAAACAATATCAATGGTGTGCTTTTGACTTTGGCTGCAGAGATTAAAATGCAAAATTGGAGCTCTGCAGTTTTACCATTCCACTCTTACTGCCTTGGGTTTAAATCATTAGTATTCTTAATGGTGAGTCTGTACAGAAATTCCAGAAAGGCTCTCTGTGTGACTGTCACCCAGTGGTAAGGGACAAAGGAAGGGAGCCCTTGTAGGGACTGCTGCACCAATGGAAGGTGTTTGGACAATGCTTATTTTATGTGCTCAGGGATAATGATATTTATTGCGAATGCAATCTTTTCCTCCTTGAAATGTCCTCACACTGGAAATTGTATTATATAGTTTTAAAAAGTATAGTTTTATACCCAAAATACACAAATTATGGTCATTTAGTTTATCAGAATAAATTACTGTAATATGAAGTCACTATTTGCAATAAATTTTTCTATTAAAATTGATTCAACTTCTAAGTTTGTTTTTCATTTTTTTGTTTGTTATTTCTCACCTAAAGATATTTTCCCCCCATTGTTTTTTCAGAACAGAAAGGAGGGAGGGAGGGAGAAGAAGAGGAAGAAAGGAAACATCATGATGATCATGATAAAGAAAAGAAAAATTACCAACATCAGGAAGACAGGGACATTATTATAAAAATCTATGATAATATTATAAACAGCACTAATTCAATAACTTAGATAAAATGGAGCAGATGAAAATTATCAATTAGAAAAATAAGCTGAATAGCCCTATATCTGAGTGAAATTGAAATTGTGGTTAACCTTCCTACAAAGAAACTCCAGGCCCAGATGTTTTAGATGCGAATTCTAGTAGACATTTATGGAAGACATAATACCAAATCTACAAAACTCTTTTAAAAAATTGAAGAGGAAGAGGTATTTCTCAGCTCATTATATGACAGGGTATACTCATAGACATGACAAGAAAAGAATATTTCAGACCAATATCCCTCATGAACATACATACAAAAATTACAAACAAAATTTTAATAAATTAAATCCAGTGGGGTTATGCCAACAACACACATTCTTTTAACGCTGGGGAAAAAAACATATAACAAATATCAATCTCTCTCCCCAAGGTTCATACCCAGATGGCTCTATTACATTTCTTAAAATAGACAAAGGAACAAATAACTCATTTGATACACCAGACACTGACACCAAAGCTGGTAGCTACTCAGTGTTCCCACCTTCATGTGGCTCATGTAGTCCTGTCACTCATCTGTGCATCCTTTGACCATCCATACCCACTGAGGAAGGCAGCAGAGCCGTGCTAGCCCAGTACCAGGCCCAGCCTTTCAGAGCTCTGACAATGCCCACTTCCATCCCCAGCGCTGTGGAGTCCTGAGCTGCCAGGGAGGAAGCCCAGCCAGCTTGCTGGGAAAACAAAACAAAACACATGGGAGAGACCACAGACAGGAGGCTCACTTGTCTACATGGTTCCCTGTGCTCTGGGAGTAAATATAAAGGAGGGAAGTGACTACAGACCCAAAGTTTTAAAATGTCAATCTTATTGATCCCATTCACTATAGAAATTTTCCTTATTTTTTGTCAGCAGATATTTAGCTGAAAATCTCATCTGGTTACCAAAGCAATGGGGAGAAATCATGTTAAAATATGGTACACAGATAATAATTTAATTAAAAAAATGTAAAAAAAAAAAATAATGAAAATAATCTGCAAAGGGAAGCCTACTGACCTAAGTAGGTCTATTATGAAAACACAGATAGATCCACATCCTAGGTAAAGCCTCTCTCTGACTTGATTTTGGCCAGAACATTCCCTTATATAAGAACAAAAAATTGCATCTATAGTAGGTACCAGGTACCAGGCTTCTGGAGTCTTTTACATTTGAAAGCCTCTTTCATATTACTGGGCTGGTAATGGAGGGGATTAGTGGGGAAAGGCCACTGACCACCAGGCAGGACCACTCTGTGCCTCTCCAGCCCCTACCATTCATAGTTCATCGGACAATAGAAACAGCCCCCCTTTAGCTGACCAACTCTTCATGTGACTTTTCTGTCAATGAGAATCTGGGGGAACACTGTACAAAGTTTCTCTCCTAGCCCCAACTTCTATTTCCCTTTTCAAAGTGGCGATACTGGTGCTCACCCTACAAGCTCACAGGCAGGCATGAGCCAGACCACCCTCCACTGCTGGAAATGGGCAAGTTCATTGTGTCCTTACTTTTTCCTTCCCAAATAGCCAGGCAGTTGTCATTAAACATTACACATACTGAAAACACTTACAGACCATCTCCATTTGTCCACGTCACCTGAAAACATATTCCAGAAATTCAGCTCCCTGGCTCACACAATGCACACTGACAGATAACACAAGATACACAGGGACCTACTTTATCCCAGAACAGCCAAAGGTAACTCTTAATGTTTAAAAGATTCAAGTGTAACCCTAGCTGGTTTGGCACAGTAGCTAGAGGATTGGCCTGTGGACAGAAGGGTCATGGGTTCGATTCTGGTCAAGGGCACGTGCCCAGGTTGTGGACTTGATCTCCAGTGTGGGGTGTGCAGGAGGCAGCCAATCAATGATTCTCATCTTTAATGTTTCTCTCTCCCTTCCTCTCTGAAATAAAATATATATATTTTTTTTCATTCAAGTGTAATAAATATTTACTTTCAGGGAAAAAAACAAAACAAAACACAAAACCACACCTAGACATTGTGACTGTAGGAATGTTATAATTATAGATGCAGATTACAAAAAAGAATCCTATACAATAGAAAACAAACCATTCTCAGCTTAGTATTCCTGGTTATATTAAAGAGTGTCTGTAACCTTTAAAACCAGAGACAGGTGGGCATAAGGGCAGGGAGAAGGAAGTATGTAAGTGTTGTGCATGGGTACAGCCTCGAACACAGGATGAGTTACCACAGGACGTGCTCCAGAACACCTTGTCTAATCAGCGGTTCACACTTCCATCGAGGTAGAAAGTGCTGAGTGAACAGGTGGGGGAAAGAAAAAGAAATGATTGTAAGTTTTAAATTACATTTTGCATCATTAAAAAGCGGCAACTGATTATACATTATTCATATCCCAACAGTTATATAATTAAAAGATAAACTTTTAGTATATCTGCTGTTTTCATCTGGTATGCAGAATTGTACTGAATTCTGATTTTATAAGCAAATTCATAGCTTGTTTAAGTTAAATTTAAAGACTTCTGAATTCTAGTTGGTACTTTCCTTAAGGTTTACAGTTTGAATTCATGCACAGAAAACCCAGGTCGGTGAGATTTTTAGGCACCAGATGACAAGTTGTACAATTCATTAGGAAGACCAGCAAGGAAATGTCTCCATTAAACCTTTTATAGGATTTGAGTCTGAAATAGGATAAATTTAGCTAATTAATTAGAAATTAATCTACTGGGAACTTGAAGATTTCTAAGGAATAATAAATGTTGAGATTATTTTGTAAGGGAAAATTTGATTTCAGTTACAACTTCACAGTTTTAGTCTTTCCCTATTAAATTTTGTTAATATATTCGGTAGAAATTTTTCATTTATCTCATAATTTGTTTGCTAAAGAACTAGGGTTTATAATGTAAGTACAAGCTAAAAATCAATGCTTATCACCTGTTAAAATATAATTCAAAGGTGTTAAATCCAACATTTTCACAATGCTTAACTAGAATAAAGCCCATTGTGATCATTTCCCTGGAAAAGACTTAGTGTTAAATACAAGCAATATTCTAGGAAATTAATTAACTTTTTCTTAATATATGTAACATTTTCCTCAACCTTTCTTTATATTTATAAAACGTAGTCTTACACTAAACATAACGCCTAGATATAAATGACTATCACAAAGTGGTGTTTATTTTGTTACTGCTTTTAACGTTTCCATCATACAACACTCTTAACAAGATTTAAAGTATCTTTAGACAAGAAATACCTGGCTATTTTTTTTTAATAGGACTGAAGTGCCATCATCAACTTCAAATTCTCCATAGTCCTTTAGACATCGCACCTAAAAGGAAAAACTGATGTTTTATCTAAATTATTTTTAATATGAAATGACGACAAAGTAATTAAGGATTATCTAAATAGTCACAAAGTAAAAGTATCAGGCTTTCTGTTGGCTTGTTTATTCTCGGTGTACTTGCGCCTAGTACACCTACTGTATGCTAGTAATGGTTTTAATGGTCCAGTTTTGATGAAGAGGAAGAAGAATGACTAAATCTTCAAATGTGTGTGTTTGTTATGCTGGCAGCAAGGAAACCCAGGGAGCTGCTAAGGGGAAACACATTCCTGTGTTCTTTTCCCTCTGCAAACCCTGAACTACCAAGCAGTTGAAATATATATTTACAAAGAAAAGAGAATGCTTTAAATCAACTCCATCCTGCCTCTTCATGGTTCCCTTCCATAAAATAATCAATATCTGAAAATAGACCATAGGTGAATCTGCAAAGCTTGTTTTAAAAAGATTTTTCCAATTTCATCTGACAAACTCTTTCCCAAAAACACTTACAAGTAAACTGGAAGAGCAGATGCAGACTCATAAGAATCAGGAGAGGTTCTTAGTCAGAAGCCTAAGACTGTCTTTTTTGTTGTTGTTAATATATTTCACTGATTTTTTTACAGAGAGGAAGGGAGGGAGGGAGGGAGGGAGGGAGGGAGGGAGGGAGGGAGGGAGGGAGGGAGGGAGGGAGGGAGGGAGGGAGGGAGAGGGAGACGGAGAGGGAGAAGGAGAAGGAGAAGGAGAGGGAGAAGCATTGATCAGTTGCCTCCTGCATACCCCTCCTGGGGATGTGCCTGCAACCAAGGTACATGCCCTTGACCTTTTTCAGTCCACAGGCTGATGCTCTATCCCCTGAGCCAAACCAGTTTCAGCAAAGACTGCCTTTTGATAGACCTTCTACAGCTGTAGAGCAGAATGTGCCTGGAGAGAAGGTTACATTCCTAACTATAGTTACAATTGCTGCCGCAGGAAACCAGGACATTTTTTCATCTTCTATAATGACTCCAGACTGGAGTTTACTATTTCCTGAGTACTACCCCGTTTCCCCGAAAATAAGACAGTGTCTTATATTAATTTTTTCTCCCAAAGTTGTGCTAGGTCTTATTTTTGGAGGATGTCTTATTTTCGGGGAAACACGTTAGGATTAGGATTAGTAAAGCCAACTCCAGCAATAAGTCTCAGTCATCTACTTTTCCTAGGTAATTTCATCATGACCTATAAATCCTCTGGAATTCTACCATGACCTCTCAAGGTATTTTAACTTAGTTTGAGAAAGACTATTCTAGAAAATTACCTAGTACCAATAATACATTTTTTACTTCTTTAAACAGATTATGGAAAATCGCAAACATATTCAAAAGTAAAAACACCAGCCCAGCTGGTGTGGCTCAATGATTGAGCATCAACCCATGAACCAGGGGGTTGCTGATTCGATTTCCCGTTAGGGCACATGGCTGAGTTGCAGTTAAATCCCCTGTAGGGGCATGTAGGAGGCGGCCAATACATGTTTCTCATAGATGTTTCTATGTCTCTATCCCTTTTCCTTTTTCTCTCTCTAAAAATCAATAAAAACTTTTTTTTTTTTTTAAGTAAAAAGACTGCCCTAGCTGGTTTGGCTCAATGAATAGAGTGTCAGCCTATGGACTGAAGGGTCCCAGGTTCGATTCCCCGTCAGGGGCACGTGCCTGGCTTGTGGGCTCAATCCCCAGTAGTGGGTGTGCAGAAGACAGCCAATCCATGATCCTCTCATCACTGATGTTTCTCTCTCTCCCTCTCCCTTCTTCTTTGAAATCAGTAAAATTATATTAACAACAACAAAAAAGTAAAAAGACCAATACTCCAAAATCAATGTCCTATCAATTGGCTTCAACAATTACCAACATCTGGCTAATCTTGTTCCCTTATTTACTTCTAAATTTTGAAGCAAATCCTAGACATAGTTTCATTTCATCTATAAATATTTTAGTATCTATTTCTACAAAATGAGATTATTTTGAAAAAAATACAATCTCAATACCATTATTTCATCTAATTAAGAATTTATTTTTTTTAAATATGGAATGCTTCACGAATTTATGCAGGGGCCATGCTAATCTTCTCTGTATCATTCCAATTTTAAATATGTGCTGCTGAAGTGAGCACTTAAGAATTTTTAAATCATGAAATATCCAGTTAGTACCCAAATTTCCTCATTTATCTTATAAGTTTTTTTTTTTAAAGTTGTCATGATCAGAGTCCAACAAAAGCTGCACACTACATGTTACTGAAAAGGTTTTTATATATATAAATGTTTACATGGTTCTACAGTGGATAGAGCGTCGGCCTGTGGACTGAAAGGTCCTGGGTTCGATTCTGGTCAAGGGCATGTACCTTGGTTATGGGCACATCTCCAGTAGGGGGTGTGTAAGAGGCAGCTGATCTATGATTCTCTCTCATCGATGTTTCTAACTCTCTATCCCTCTCTCTTCCTCTCTGTAAAAAATCAATAAAATATATTTAAAAAAATGTTTACATGGTTCTAAAGTCAAAACTATTAAAACAGGCCTATTCAGAATATTTTAGCTTTTCTATCCTAGCCCCATCATTTGTAACATTTTTGGTTTCAGTTTATTTTCACTTTCCTTTTTAAAATAAATTAATATATATTTATATATCCCATAGACAAAAGGCAGCACAATCTATACATTAAATAAAAATCCATTTTTAAGTATACTTACTTCAATATATAAACTTTTGGGAGGTTTCATATCCTGTGTAATATCTAAGCCTTCCTCTCCTCCCAATGACCTCATATAAGTAGCAAGAGACTTTTTATAATGATTGAACCATTCCACCTGCAAACATAAGTTGACAAAGTTTTAAGAAAAACAACTTGCAGAAATTGTATACTCATCTTTTAAAATTAAAATACCAATGGCATATGTCACAGAGCTAGAACAAATACTCCAAAAATTTATACAGAATCAAAAAGACCCCAAATAGCTGCAGCAATCATGAAAAAGAAAAATAAAATTGGAGGAATCACAATGTCAGATATCAAGTTATACTACAAAGCCATTGTAATCACAACAGCCTGGTACTGGCACAAGAACAGGTATATAGATCAATGGAACAGAACAGAGAACCCAGAAATTAACCCAAGCCATTATGCTCAATTAATATATATATTTTTTACACTCAATTCATATTTGATAAAAGAGGCAAGAGCATATAATGGAGTCAAGACAGTCTCTTCAATAAATGGTGTTGGGAAAACTGGACAGATACATGCAAAAAAAAAAAAAAAAAGTGAAACTAGACTACCAATTGACATCAAACACAAGAATAAACTAAAAATGGATAAAAAAATTAAATGTAGCTGAAACAGTTTGGCTCAATGGATACAGCTTCGGCTTGGGGACTGAAAGATCCGGGGTTCGATTCCGGTCAAGGGCATGTACTTTGGTTGCGGGCATATCCCCAGTAGGGGGTGTGCAGGAGGCAGCTGATCGATGACTCTCATCGATGTTTCTAACTCTATCTCTCTCCCTTCCTCTCTGTACAAAATCAATAAAATATATATTAAAAAAAATGAACCAGACCTACAATAAAAGCCAACCCTATAAAATTAAAAAAAAAAAATTAAATGTAAGTTATGAAACCATAAAAATCCTAGAAGAAATCATAGGCAACAAAATCTCAGACATCTCTCGTAGCAATGTTTACTGATACATCTGCTAAGGCAAAGGAAACTACAGAGAAAATAAACAAATGGGACTACGGCAAAAGAAAATGCTTTTGCACAGCAAAAGAAACCATTAACAAAATGAAAAGGGAGCCCAGTGTATGGGAGAACATATTTGACAATGACACATCAAATAAAGGGTTAATATCCTAAATATAAGGACCAGCAGATCACACCACTGCTGCTCAACTACTGTCAGTGCAAGCTGGTGGCCCAGGAGTACTACGAGGTGCTGGACCACTGCTCCTCCATCCTCAACAAGTACGACGACAACGTGAAGGCCTACTTCAAGCGGGGCAAGGCGCACGCGGCCGTGTGGAACGCCCAGGAGGCCCAGGCTGACTTTGCCAAGGTGCTGGAGCTGGACCCCGCCCTGGCACCCGTCGTGAGCAAGGAGCTGCGGGCCCTGGAGGCGCGGATCCGGCAGAAGGACGAGGAGGACAAGGCCTGCTTCCGGGGCATCTCCCACTGACAGGCCCACCCACCCTGCCCAGCCCGCTGCTGCCACTGCCAGCCCACCTGCCCCCATGCCTCACTTCTCTGTACATAAAGCCTTATTTATCTCAAAAAAAAAAAAAAAAAGAAAGAAAGAAAGAATACATTGTCTGAAATAAAACATATTATACAGAAGCCTAAAAACAGAATGGAAGATCGCAAGAATCAAGTCAAAGATTTGGAACATAAAGAGCCAGAAAACCCTCCTCTGCAGAAGCAAGAAGACAAGAGAATCCAGAAAGTTAATGGAAGATAATGTAAGAAACTTCAAGCGAACCAACATCAGAATTATGGGGTTCCCAGAAGATGAGAGAGAGCAAGATATCAAAAACATACTGAAAGAAATAGTGACAGAAAACTTCCCCTACGTGGTGAAAGAATTAGACTTACAAGTCCAGGAAGCGCACAGAACTCCAAACAAAAGGAATCTAAAGAAGACCACACCAAGACACATCATAATTAAAATTCCAAGAGCAAAAGACAAAGAGAGAATATTAAAAGCAGCAAGAGCAAAGCAGGTAGTTATCTATAAAGAAGCACCCATACGATTGTCAACTGATTTCTCAAAAGAAACCATGCAGGCCAGATGGGAATGGCAAGAAATATTCAAGGTGATGAATAGCAAGAACCTACAGCCAAAAATAATCTATCCAGCAAAGCTATCACTCAGAATCGAAGGCCAGATAAAGAGCTTAACAAATAAGAAAAAGCTAAAGGAGTTCATCACCGACAAACCAGAATTATATGAATTGCTGAAGGGGGTTGTTTTGGAAGAGAAAGTAAATAAAGATAAAAACTATGAACAACAAATATGTAACTATCAACAAGTGAATCTAAAAACCAAGAGAATTTAAAAAAATCTGATGAACCATATTAACTGTTGAATATAATAGAATCAGAGGTATGGGAGGGGAGTGAACTGATGATTCTCGGGGAAAAGGGGAGAGGGGGGTGTGAGAAGAGATTGAACATAAACTGTGCACCTATGGATGAGGACAATGGGGGGTGGGGAAAGGGCAGAGGGTGGGGTGGGAACCTGGTGGAGGGGAGCAATGGAGGAGGGGGGGAAATGAGGAACATTTGTAATAATACGAACAATAAAGATTTATTTAAAAATAAATAAATAGGCAAATGACCTAAACAGACACTTCTCTAAAGAGGTCACACAGATGGTCAAGAGACATATGAAAAAAAGCTTTAAGTCACTGATCATCAGAGAGATGGAAATTAAAACGACAATGAGATATCACCTCACACCTGTCAGAATAGCTACCATCAACAAATCAACAAATGACAAGTGCTGGCAAGGATGTGGAGAAAAGGAAACCCTAGTACATTGCTGATGGGAATGCAGACTGATGCACCATTATGGAAAACAATATGGAGTATCCTCAAAAAATTAAGTATAGAACTGCCATTTGGCCCAGTGATCCCACTTTTAGGAATATATCCTTAAGAAACCCAAAGCACCAATGAGAAAGAATTTATGCACCCCTATGTTCATAGCAACACAGTTTACAATCGCTAAGATCTGTAAACAGCCCAAGTGCTCGTCAGTAGATGAGTGGTTAAAAAAGCTGTGGTATAGTTATACCATGGAATACTATGCAGAGCAGTAAAAAAAAAAGGAAAAAAAAAAGAATCTCCTAATCCTTTGAGATAGCATGTAGGGATCATGCTCATGGAAATAGGTCAGTCAGAGAAAGACAAGTATCACATGATCTCACTCATATGTGGAATCTAAGTAACAAAATAAACTGATGAACGAAGTGGATCCATATACATGGAAGCATGGAACAGAGTGCAGAATCTCAGAATGAAGGGGGAAGAGTGGGTGGGAGGTAATCAAGGAAAAACCTTGTATGAATATTTGCAGGACCTATGAACACAGGCTACAGGGTGCTGAAGGCCTGGGAGTGGGCTGAAGGGGGTCAATGGGGAGAAAAAAGGGGACATATGTAATACTTTCAACAATAAATAAATAAATAAATAAATAAATAACAAATAAATAAGCCTGGCTGACAAGGCTGAGGTTGAGCATCCTCCTATGAACCAGGAGGTCACTGATTCCTAGTCAGGGCATTTGTCCGAGTTGTGGGTTTAATCCCCAGTAGGAAGCAGGAAGCAGGCAATCAATGATTCTCTCATCACTGATGTTTCTACCTGTCTCTCCCTCTTCCTTCCTCTCTGAAAATCAATCAATCAATCAATCAATCGATATATATATTTTTAAATAAAAATAAATATAATTTCCAACATCCTTACGGATTGGACTAATATTGGGTTAATTTTATAGATAAACGTTGGTTATCTGAAATCTTTGGTTATCTGGACACTTTCTAAGAGATTAAAAGTTTAAAGGTACAAATTACAAAGGCAATGTAAATTAAGCAACACATATTTGGTCTTCGTAAAACTCTAATTATGCGCCGAAACCGGTTTGGCTCAGTGGTAGAGCGTCGGTCTGCGGACTGAAAGGTCCCAGGTTCGATTCCGGTCAAGGGCATTTACCTTGGTTGCGGGCACATCCCCGGAAGGGGGTGTACAAGAGGCAGCTGGTCGATGTTTCTCTCTCATCGACGTTTCTAGCTCTCTATCACTCTCTCTTACTCTCTGAAAAAAATCAATAAAATATATTTAAAAAAAATAAAAAATAAAATAAAACTCTAATTATGATGATAAATGTGATGCACATTCATAGTTTTATATAAGTTAATGAGTTATATCTAAATGCTGAAATTTAAGCTATAAAATTTTCATCCCATTTATATGCATTTGTGTATGTTTAAACATACATATAAAGTTATACTAGAATTATAAGACTGAGAACCTTATGAATAATAAACAGAAAAAACTAACAATTCAGAGAGAAATGGTATTTGCCTATTCAGACTACTTTTTTTTTTTTTAAATATATTTTTATTGATTTTTTACAGAGAGGAAGGGAGAGAGATAGAGAGCTAGAAACATCGATGAGAGAGAAACATCGACCAGTTGCCTCCTACACACCCCCTACCGGGGATGTGCCCGCAACCAACGCACATGCCCTTGGTCGGAATCGAACCTGGGATCCTTCAGTCCAAAGACCAACGCTCTGCCACTGAGCCAAACCGGCTTCGGCAATTCAGACTACTTTAAAAAAAAAAAAAAAGAAAAAAAATCTTATCTTCTTATTTGGTGGCTCTTATGGAAAACAGAACATTCTTATCTCATAGAGAAGCTCCCAAATCTTGGCAGTTTTGTGCTGATTTTTTTATTCTTTCTAAAATATTTTTCTTCGAAAAAGTTGAAATTTCCAGTTACTGCTATAATTGTTATTTCTGATTATTTGTACAACTAAGATAATCATTTTTGTCTTTAGACTTATGTTTATATATAATATTATAAAATGTACTTTTATAATTATTTCTTATATTGATTTTCCCAAATCTAGACCAAGTATTACATTATAAAAATATTAAAATGTTGCTGTGACTGGTTTGGCTCAATTGATAGAGCGTCGGCCTGCAGACTGAGAGGTCTCGGGTTCGATTCCGGTCAAGGGCATGTACCCTGGTTGTAGGTATATCCCCAGTAGGTGTGTAGGAGGCAGCTGGTCGATGTTTCTAACTCTCTATCCTTCTCCCTTCCTCTCTGTAAAAAATCAATAATATATATATATTTTAAAAAGTTAAAATGTTAAAACAAAAATACAAAAAGATAAATACTAATAAATATATTATAGAACAATGCCAGAACCTCAGCATTTTCCAAATTCGTAACTGAATAACAGTGCTAACTTACTTCTTCAGCAGACATGTGAAATCGCAAAATACTTGGCAGAACACTGCCGTATTCCCACCTGAGTGCTCTAATCCGAAGCAATCGGTCATACCTAGGGGATTAAGAAGGCATTAGATTCTTAACAAAAGGGATATCAAAAGCTGTTTTGATGAGGAGAGATTAAGACTCACATTAATCTAAATGTATTATGTGGACTTTATTTGGCTCCTGAGACAAATGTGAGAAGTCATCTTGGGGACAAGGCAGAAAATATGAATGTTGACTAGACAGAAGTGTTATTGATTAGAGGTGCATACTAAAGTATTTAGTGGTAAAATGTCATGATGCTCTACAATAGTGTAGCATAAATAAATAAAACATAAAACATTATGGCAGCCGAAAACAGGTTTGGCTCAGTGGATAGAGCGTCAACCTGGGTACTCAAGGGTCCCAGGTTCGATTCCGGTCAAGGGCATGTACCTTGGTTGCAGGCACATCCCTAGTAGGGGGTGTGCAGGAGGCAGCTGGTCGATGTCTCTCTCTCATCGATGTTTCTAACTCCCTATCTCGCTCCCTTCCTCTCTGTAAAAAATCAATAAAATATATTTTAAAAAACACACAAACATTTATGGCAGCCCAGTTGGCGTGGCTCAATGGTTGAATGTCAACCTATGAACCAGAAGGTCACAGTTCCATTCCTGGTCAGGGCATATGCCTGGGCTGCTGGCTCCATCTCCAATGTAGGGTGTGTAAAAGGCAGGTGATCAATGATTCTCTCTCATCACTGATGTTTCTGTCTCTCTCCCTCTGCCTTCCTTTCTGAAATCAATAAACATATTAAACAAAACAAAAACAAAAAACATTTATGGCAAAATGTTAAAAAATTGTTACACATGTATGATGGGTCTATGGGAGTTCATAAAATTATTCTCCCTAGTTTTATGAATATTGCAATTTTTCATAATAAAATTTTTTAAATACAAACAAAAATTTAGAATGTTTATAAAGAAAGAGACAAATCTAAGAATTCGTTTTCCATTTGAAATGGTTAAAAGGACCACATGGAAAATGCTCCATTATTCCCTAACACCCCAGGCAAATTCTGAGAGACTTACAAGTATGCTATAATGCAGCGTCGATTTCTTAGCAAAGAACAGTGTCGAAATTTGATGGTTGGTATCAAATCACTTCGTCCACCTGACTTCGCTTCATTCCTAGTAACATTTGAATAGGAAAAGAACAAATTATGTCTATTTCAGTATAAATAAAATTTTTAAAGCCAACTAGCAACTGACATGTTTTTCATTTTTTCTAATTCTTTATTGTTAAATGTTTTACATGTCTTTTCCCCCCCATTGACCTCACCCCAACTGCTCCTGCCCGCAACACATGCCTCCTCACCCGTATTGTCTGTTGGTCATGCTCATAGGCATAGATACAGTCCTCTGGTTAATCTCTTATCCCACCTTCCCCTCACCTTCCCTCTGAGGCTTGAGGGTCTGATTGATGCTTCTATGTCTCTGGATCTATTTTTGTTCATCAGTTTATGTTGTTTGTTATATTCTACAAATGAGTGAGAACATGTGATATTTATCTTTCTCTGACTGGCTTATTTCAATTAGCATAATGCTCTCCAGGTCCATCCATGCTGTTGTAAATGGTAAATGGTAAAAGTTCTTTCTTTGCCGAAACCGGTTTGGCTCAGTGGATAGAGCGTCGGCCTGCGGACTGAAAGGTCCCAGGTTCCGGTCAAAGGCAGGTACCTTGGTTGCGGGCACATCCTCAGTAGGGGGTGTGCAAGAGGCAGCTGATCGATGTCTCTCTCTCATTGATGTTTCTAACTATCTTTCTCTCTTCCTCTCTGTAAAAAATCAATAAAATATATTTTTTAAAAAGTCAACTTTAGAGTTTTAAAAGGAACCAGATAAATATAAAAAACAACTCCTTCATGCAGTGAATGCTGCAGGCCCTGCAAACAGAGCCAAAATACATGTCCCACCCAAACATGTCTTCTAGAACTGTTCTACACACTTCTAAGTCAGATTGATTCGCCACAGTTTACAGTGTGTTTTGGATTACAGAGTAGTAGTACAGATAAAATACACCTAAATTAACCTCAGGGTACTTTATTAAGTACAGAAGGATTTGCTAAAAAATTTACATTTATATGAGTAACTTAAAATAGATTTCTCGTGACAAGTACGTTTAACCAGAAATTGGTAATAGTGATTGTCCCCTTAAAAAGAAATTAGGACGAGAAGGAATAGAATTTGGGATTATGAATTTGCAAATGGTATAAATACAGATCGAGTTACTTCGGAGATCCGTTCCTATGGCGCGACGTAACGCAATTTTTGCTGTAAATCGGAACCCACCTACATAAGCACCTACATCACTCACATAAAGCACATACACAGCAGTAATGAAGTGAAACAGTAAAAAAAAATTTAAAAGAAAGATAACAATTCTTGACCTTTACTTGTGGTAAATAAATAATAAAAATCATCAAGCACATACATATGTACATATGTCGAAATGACAGAACTTTTTTTTTTATAAATAAATGGAGATGGCGACATGACCACGAAATGATGTATGTCGAGTCTGACGTGACCTGAGGACTGCCTGTACAGGAAAATCATTCCCTCACTGGACTAAGGTCTATTAGGCCACATCCAAAACATGTTTTTAACCTCTTCACTTTTTTTGCTACTCCAAGTCACCTCTCCTGTCACCTGGATGACCAGATGCCTCCCTCTCCTCTCAGCTTCTCCTTCCACTGTCCACACAGCAGTCAGTGTGATCCTTCAAAGCACAAACATGAGACCACCTGCCCTACTTATTTAAAAATATTACCTGGTGTCATGCTTTGCTTGCTTATAAGCTTAAGCCACACTGGCCTTCTTTGGCAGTTTCCTGAGCATCCCAACCTCTTTCATGACCCTGGGACTTCGCATATGCTGTTCCCTCTACTTGGAACGCTCTCTACCACAATGACTACCTAGCTAAAAATCTGCTCTCCTTTAGGCCTCAGCAAAATGTCTCTCCTTTGGAAATAAATTCTCAGATTCCTTGATCTGATTTTATCTTCACTTCATTTTCCTCTCAACTAGCACTCTGTTGTGTTCTTCCATAGCATGTATCCCGATTTGGTCTATCTGTCTTCTGCATTAGACAGTGAGGACCATAGTGACAGAAATCTTGACTACTGTGTTTACAACTGAAATACCAGAGCCATTTATCAGCATATAATTGTTCAATACATATTTGTTAGTGAATGAATGAATGAATGAATGTCTCAGGAACTTCCCTTTAGGACTTTAGATTTTCTGCAAATCTGTTGTGATTCAGTCCCACATTCCATAAAGACTTTTCTGAATCCACCCTTAAACACTGTAGTTGAAAGTGTTCCTGTTGTTCTGTAAGCTCCACCATGCTACTGATTTGAATATCCAAGTAAATGAAAAAACATTGTACTTAACAAAGCCAAAGATGAAACCTCAGGTTACATATAACTTCTCTCTAGGCTGAGATCTGAATACCTCACTTCTGATCTAGAATTTGGTGTCTTTCAGACACTTTTGTGGCTTACTCTTCACCAAATCACAGGGACCTCTGAAGTTTGTTATACAGTCCAAATGCTTAGCTCTAACTAATCTATAGATCTAGAACCTTCTCAGGTCCAATCTGTAGCCTTTTGTAGCCCTAGTTCTCAATGACCTTCACTCAAGCTACTGGAATCACTACTGCTCCTGCTAAGTTTACAAAATACCCATTCTCTCAGTCTATAAATGAAAGCAAACAGTGGAAACCATATATTTCAATTTGTTAGGGTTTTTATTTGTTCAAGTCTCAACTATTTTTGGTTTACACTAATATCTTTCAAGTCATATCAGTCAAATAAGAAATATTTTAAATATGTACCATATGCCAAGCACTACCTGAATCCCTGTAGAGATAGCCATAATCAATACAAATCTCTTTAATACTGTATAATCAAACTCAGAATTTAAAAAAGTCACATCTAAAAACTGATGTAAGGCCCTAGCCGGTTTGGCTCACTGGATAGAGCATCGACTTGCGGACTGAAGGGTCCCAGGTTTGATTCCGGTCATGGGCATGTACCTTGGTTGCAGACACATCCCCAGTAGGGAGTGTGCAGGAGGCAGCTGATCGATGTTTCTCTCTCATTGATGTTTCTAACTCTCTATCCCTCTCCATTCCTCTCTGTAAAAAAAAAAAATCAATAAAATATATTAAAAAAATACAAACTGATGTAAGATTATCTTCTAATATCACATTTCTTAAATTGTTTTAAAATATGAATTTTATAGAAACTTACACATCAGACTGGTTTTGTTCATATAAAGCTTTCATCTCCTCCAGAACTTGCCTGAGTCCATCCTCCTGGAATATACAAATTGGTCCATATTCATTAATTCTCCAAGTCTGCAACAATATTCTATCTATACTATGTTTATATTTGATTTACATATCTTATCAGAAAGCAAGTCCTTTCACACCTACTATGATGGCTATAATAAGTGTTGTCGAGGATGGGGAGAAATTAGAACCCTCGTGCATTGTAGGTAGGAATATAAAATGGTACCCAGCACTGGAAAAAAATCTAATGGTTCCTCAAAGAAGAAAAACATATTACCATATTAACCAGCAATTCCACTCCTAGGCATACACTCAAGAGAATTAAAAACATAATCTTACAAAGACATGTACACAAATGTTTAAAACAGTATTATTCATTATAGCCAAAAAGTGGAGTGGATTCCCTGATGAACTGATCAACCACATATGGTATGTCCATTTGATGGAATATTATTTGGACATAAAAAGCAATGCAGTAAAATAAAAATAAAAAAGATTAAAAAAATTTAAAAAGCAATGCAGTTAGCCCATGGACACAGACAACATTGTGATGATGACCAGAGAGAGACAGGGCAAGGTTGGGTGGAGGTAGTAAAAAGGGTGAGAATGGGGGACACCAAAAAGCATAACAGAATCAAAACAAAACAAAACAAGCAATGCAGTATATGCATCAACGTGAATCAACACTGAAAACATTACACTAAGTGAAACAAGCCAGACACAAAGGACAAATAATGTCCGAGTCCACTTATCTGAAATAGTATATAGAACAGAGACAGAAAGCACATTTGAAGTTCCCAGGGACTGGGGGAGATGGGAATGGGAAGTTACTGCTTAATGGTTATAGAGTTTCTGTTTGGGATGATTAAAAAGAAGTCAGACACAAAGGAGTACATACTGTATGATCCCAACTGGCCCTTCACAGATAAAGTTTGCAACTCCTGGGACACCAAATCCAGAAATATGCAAAGGCAAATATACTCTGTATTTATGGAAGAGTAAATCCGCCGAAACTGGTTTGGCTCAGAGGATTGAGCGTCGGCCTGCGGACTGAAGGGTCCTAGGTTTGATTCCGGTCAAGGGCATGTACCTTGGTTGTGGGCACATAACCAGTGGGGGGTGTGCAAGAGGCAGCTGATAGATGATTCTCTCTCATCAATATTTCTAACTCTCTATCCCTCTCTCTTCCTCTCTGTAAAAAAAATCAATAAAATATATTAAAAAAAAGAAAAGTAAATCCATGTTGCCTCAGGCTACATAGGAAAGTAGCAAGTAGCTACAAAAGGTAAAAACGAACCTTTGGGGTGACAGAAGTTTTGATTGGGGTGCTGCTTATAAGGACGTACATATTTGTCGAAAGTCAAAAACCTGTTAAAATGTGTATTTTATTGTATATAAATTATACCTCAACAAAATGGATGGCAAAAAAATCAGTAGTACTACACAATAAGGCATGACAAAAGTATGTAAATAATTTACTATTTACTGAAAAATGGTCTTAAAAGATTACTAACCAAGAACAGTGTTTTGGTTTGTACTGAAAAAATATAAAGGCCAGTCAAAACTGGTTTGGCTCAGTGGATAAAGCGTCGGACTGAGGACTGAAAGGTCCCGATTGGATTCCGGTCAAGGGCATGTACCTTGGTTGCGGGCACATCCCCAGTAGGGGGTGTGCAAGAGGCAGCTGTGGTCGATGTATCTCTCTCATCGACATTTCTAACTCTCTTTCCCTCTCAATTCCTCTCTGTGTAAAATCTGTATATGCCAAAAAAAGCTTTTCTATTATCTATCTTGGGGCAAAATGTTTAAAAGCTTAAAAAATTTACTTGGAAGGATAAACAGAGTAGTATTCTGAAATTCACATAGGTCTATCAACAACCCCAAAACAACTGGCTCATCTACCAAAAATGTATACACATTATAAAGACAGTGCATTAAAATACATTTCATTTTTATTTTATTATTTTTATTTTTTTTACATTTCATTTTAAAAATGTAATAGAATCTAAAGCCACCAGCTGTTAAAGTGTGTATACATTTTTTTGTGATACCCTATACGTTCCCATTCTACTTATAAGCCAAAATATATGCATTAGCAAAAATGCTTTAGCACTACTGGTACAACTACAAATCAACTACTTAAGCTTGCTCAAGTATAGGAAAAGATGTAATTTCTGATGAAAAATGTAAGACACATTGATTGATTGCCTCCTGCACGAATCCTGACCTGGGGCTGAGGATCAAGCCTGCAATCAGGTACCTGTCCTTGACCAGAATGGAACCCGGGAACCTTCAGTTCGCAGGCCGACCTTCTATCCCCTGAGCTCACCGGCTAGGGCAGAAGCCTACCTTGTGCCGGCGTGCACAACAAATACTAATTATCAAGCAAGCAATGAACGTTTGGTTAAGCAAAGGGACAACGATACATTTATAGATGAAGAAATACTAAAGGAAGTTACTCATATAAAGAAATGCACCTAATTTCTGGGTGATATAAGAACAAAGGGTTTCTTTTTCCTCCTATACTTGGGCCATGTTCCAAAACTATTGTGCTGGGCTTTGGAGTTCACCCCGTGAGAAAGTAAAGCCTCCAGGGAGGCTCAAGGGAAAATTCTGAGGGCGTCGATCCGCCCTGCCGTCAGGCCCGGCCCCAACACGCCCATCCCGTCCACCCGGGCCCCCTCACATTGAAGGCCAGCAACTGCCCTTCGGGCGCCCGGTGCAGCTCGCGGACCAGCTCGATGGCCCTATCGCAGAACATGGCGCAGTCGCTCCAGTCCCGAGGCCTCGTCCACTGCCCGCTTCACGCCAAACGGTCGGTCGGTCAGCTCTCGGCCGCAACTCTCAGACCCTGTAGTCCCGGGTCCCGCAGCTCCTGATCTTAACCTGCGCCTCTGATCTGCGCGTTGGCGCCAAACACGCCCAGCCAATAGGAAGCGCACTGATGAGCCTCCTGGCCTACGGCGGCGGTAAAGGGACATTCCCCTCCACTTGCGCAGCCGCCTACAAAAAGAGTCCTTCCCTGGCAAATAGGGGACAGTGGGCGGGCCTCCGTTGGAGCCTGTAAACTGAGCAGATTTCTTTTCGAATTTCCAGGCGGTTAACAAGAAACTTTCAGCGAAGCACAGCTTCCATTTGATTCATTCATTTCCACGTAAGTTCAAAGAGGTGCGCTCTTTGAGATTAGGGAAGGCTCAGCCCGCCTGGCTCTGGTTGAGCATGGGCCCAAGAACCAGGTTTCCCAGACAGGGCACATGCCTGGGTTGCCAGCTGGATCCTCACTAGGGGACGTGCAAGAAGCAGCCGATCAGCCGAGACCGGTTTGGCTCAATGGATAGAGCGTCGGCTTGGGGACTGAAGGATCCCCTGTTCGATTCCAGTCAAGGGCATGTACCTTGGTTGCCGGCACATCCCCAGTAGGGGGTGTGCAAGAGGCAGCTGATCGATGACTCTCTCTCATCAATGTTTCTAACTCTCTCTCTCTCCCTTCCTCTCTGTACAAAATCAATAAAATATATTTTAAAAAATAATATAAAATATGATAAAAACTTAAGATCTTATTTAAAAAAAGAAGCAGCTTATCAATGATTGTCATCATTGATGTTTCTTTCCTCTGAAATCAATATTTTGTTTTGTTTTGTTTTGTTTTGTTAAAAGGAAGGCTCAGAAACTTGGTGTGCATTTGCCTTATGACACAGCATTTCCTTTGTTTAGTTTTGCATCTGGGTGTTTTGTTTCATAGAAAAGGAAAATCAACTTTTTGGAGGCATCTCCTATGTGGTAGACACAATGACATATTTGATTTGCTTCTGAGGATTAACCAACCTTAGGGTGGTTTTTAAGACTCTTGGTACTGATTAGGAAACAGAAGTTAGGTAACTTGCTTAAGCTCATACAGGCCTTGTATTTTTAAGCTCTCAATTCCACGGTACCACCTTTGGTGGTAAAGCAGTCATTTTTAAAAAATATATCTTATTGATTTTTTACAGAGAGGAAGAGTGATAAAGAGTTAGAAACATCAATGAGATAGAATCATTGATCAGTTGCCTCTTGCATACCCCCTACTGGGAATGTGCCTGTAACCAAGGTACTGTCCTTGACCAGAATCGAACCCAGGACCCTTCAGTCCGCAGGCTGACGCTCTATCCACTAAGCCAAACCGGTTTCAGCTAAAACATTTGTAGTCCTAGCTGATTTAAAAAAAAAATTATATGGCTCAGTGGATGAAGCATCGGCCTGCAGACAGAAGGGTCCTGGGTTCCATTGCGATCATAGAACATGTACCTTGGTTACAGGCTCCTCCCTGGCCCAGACCTTGGTCAAGACTCTCCTGCAAGAGGCAATCAATCAATGTGTATTTCTCACATCTATATTTCTCTGTGTCTTTCCCTCTTGCTTCCACTCAATGGGAAAGTATCTTTGGGTGAGGATTAAAAAAATAAATTGTAGCCGAAACTAGTTTGGATCAGTGGATAGAGCACCAGTCTGTGGACTGAGGGGTCCTGGGTTCGATTCTGGTCAAGGGCATGTACATTGGTTGTGGGCACATCCCCAGTGGGGGGTGTGCAGGAGGCAACTGGTTGATGTTTCTAACTCTTTATCCCTCTCCCTTCCTCTCTGTAAAAAAAATCAATAAAAATATATTTTAATAAATAAATAGCTCTAGTCACAAGGTATACAGAGAGGAAAAAATCAATTCACATAGCCCTATTCTTATTTACATAATTATGGAAATTTTCATAAGCATATAGAATCAAAAGGTAAGAATTGCTGCTATAGAAAATTCATTTTTGGCCATTTTTAAAAAAAGCAATATATATATATATATTTAATTGTAAACACTTGAGGACAAACACAGCTAGAAACAAAGTCACATATTTTTTTAAAATATATTGATTTTTTTTTTTAAGAGAGAGGGATAGAGAGTTAGAAACATCAATGAGAGTCATCGATCAGCTGACTCTTGCATAGCCCCTACTGGGGATGTGCCCGCAACTAAGGTACATGCCCTTGACTGGAATTGAACCTGGGACCCTTCAGTCCGCAGGCACTGAGCAAACCGGTTTCAGCTAAAAGCAATATTTTGTAATGAGCAATATTACTTGGATTCATTCTAGCCAATCTGAGAAACTATGTTCCTCTTTTGCAGTGGAAAAGAAATTGTTAAAGAAAGCAAAATACAGTGGATATATTATCTGACAAATGAGCATGGGAATGGCCTCTTTACATTGAGTGTTATTTCCTTTTCAACTCTATAGTAAGGGATCATGTAGGTAAGGGTTTTTATTAAATACACAATTCCATAGTGGACTGTGATCCAAAGATCAAAAGCATCCACAGCTTTCCTTTGCCATAAACCTTTTTAACTTTGAACTTCGGGCCTGAGATTCACTTCCTTACCTGTACAGTGGGGACAATGATATCCACTTCGGAGGGGCTATGATGATTCTTTATCCCTAAGCAAATATTTATGAAATGTCTATTATGCAGCAGACATTGTTTTAGACACTGAAGATAAAGCAATGAACAAAGTCCTTGATCTTATCCTATATTCTAGTGTGGGGAAACAGCAATACACAAATACAAATACATTGATAAGTATATTAGTGAAAAGCTTGGAAAAGGGGGTAAGGAAAGGGGGGATGGCAAGGAAAATAAGCCAAGGAAGGTGAGTAAGAGTGATGGTGAGAGGGCCTTGGGATTCTGAGTCAGTGTTCAGAGAAGGCACAGATCGAAGTGGGGGAGGGAGTAAGCCATTGGGAAGGCCGAAAGTTCAGGCAGTAAGAATGTAGGGCAGCTGAAACCAGTTTGGCTCAATAGATAGAGCGTCAGCCTGTGGACTTAAGGGTCCCGGGTTTGATTCCGGTCAAGGGCATGTACCTTCGTTGCGGGCACACACACAATAGGGAGTGCAGGAGGCAGATTTTGAAGGGAGATCTGACAAGTGGCCTGACAAGTGGTAAACGTGCTGTGGCAAAACAAGGGAGGGTTTAACCTGAGGAACTGGAATGAGGGCCTTGTCACCTGAGGTGGGGAAGGTTATTGATGGAGCTGGGGTGGGAGAAGGGTAGAGAGCTCAGCTTTGAATATAATCTTAAGTGCCTGTAGGATATGGACAAGAGATACAAATGCAGGTGTCACCAATGTGGTATTTAAAGCCTGGATAACAACACCTAGAAAGTAAGCCGGAACTGGTGTGGTTCAGTGGATAGAGTGTCAGTCTGCAGACTGAAGGGTCCCAGGTTCGATTCCGGTCAAGGGCATGTACCTGAGTTGCAGGCACATCCCCAGTAGGGGGTGTGCAGGAGGCAGCTGGTCGATGTTTCTCTCTCATCGACATTTCTAGCTCTCTATATCTCTCCCTTCCTCTCTGTAAAAAAAAAAAAAATCAATAAAAAAAAAGAAAGTAAGTGTGGTCCAAGAGTAGAGGACTCCGTGGGTAAGGCGTGGTACCAAGAACACAGTTCCCCTTACTCTCACATCTCCAGCTCTACCTTCCTAGCTTTTTTCTCTTTTTTTCTATTAAAAGGGATTCAATGAGTATTAAAGTAAAAGAAAATTATTTACAATTTAGTTGCTAGATTCCCAATCTCCAGTATGTGTTGCTATATCACTTTAAAGAATTCACCATGTAAATTCCAAAAGTATGTTTGGACAAATATGAATGATGGCTGTGATTATTTAGTAATATAAACAATGAAACTGTTTTTGCAATTTCTAAGTATCACTGCAGGAGCTACTGAATTTCTTAAAAAAGAATTTCTAATTGATCTTAAATTATCAGTTGCCAATAGTTTTCACTAACACAAATGCTGAAATTCCAAAAGTTATTTTGGAATAAATAAGCAAATCTCTTAGTTGCAGATTGTTTGTAAAACAATAATACCATGTTAAAGAAAGCAAAGGCTATAAAACCAAATTTGTGACATTGCTCTCTTCTTTTCTTTCTTTCTTTTTAAAAAAATATTTTTTATTGATATTTTACAGAGAGGAGGAAGGGAGAGAGATAGAGAGCAGGAAACATCGATGCAAGAGAAACATTGACAAGCTGCCTCTTGCACACCCCCTAGTGGGGATGTGCTCCAACCAATGTACATGCAACCAATGTACATGCCCTTGGCTGGAATCGAACCTGGGACCCCTCAGTCCGCAGACCAACGCTCTACCACTGAGCCAAACCGGTTTCGGCTGCTCTCTTCTCTTCTTTTCTTTTCTCTTTTTAGGATGGGTTGAGTTAGTACTCAATTTGTCTTTCACAAATGGGAATTTATCTTTGAAGTAAGATTTCCTCCCACAGCTAATTTCAATTATCTTATAAAAATATTAAATCTAATGCAGGCTTAAAAAAAATAGTTTCAGCCCCAAAGCAAAAATTAAATATCTATACATTTGCTTCAAATTAAAATAAGGCTATCTAAAAGCATTTTTTTTAAAAGGTAAAGTCCTGGTGGGGGAATGGTTATAAATCATTAGATAAGAACTGTTATTTGTTAATTTTTTCTTTTTGTTCTTATAAATCTTTTTTCTTAGTATACATTTTATTGGTATTTTCAGACAGGAAGAGAGAGGGATCGAGAGTTAGAAACATGATCAGCTGCCACCTGCACACTCGCTACTGGGGATGTGCCCGCAACCAAAGTACATGCCCTTGACCGGAATCGAACCCCGGACCCTTGAGTCCGCAGGCCGATGCTCTATCTACTGAGCCAAACCAGTTAGGGATATTCTTATAAATCTTTACAAGGGCATTTTCAAGGAAAGATACAGATTGGGTTTCCAGGTTTGGGGGAAAGTCAGAAAGCCTGGGGTGGAAGGTGGAGGGGGACTATCTACTGTGGCTGCGGCTTGGTGGGTGCTCCCTTCCTGGCCAGCGTCCTCTCCGCCGAGGCCATTGATCCTGCCCGACGACGCGGTTTCAGGAGAAGGAGGCCCCCCGCCCAGGGGACCAGCCACAGACTCCTGGGACACCGCTCCGCCGGCCTCCACCAGGAGACACTGTGCGGTTACATCCGCCCTCTTCCAGGATGGCTTCCGGTGGGCGCCGGGCACTCTGGGTGCCGGGAGGGGGCGGGGCGGGGCGGCCGGCGGGAGCTGGGCGCTGATTGGCCGCCGCGCTCCGTAGCCGGCTGCGGCGACCAGAGCTGGAATGTGAGGGGCGGCGGGCTCCCGGCGGCGGCGGCGGCATCTCCAGCAGCGGCGGCGACTGCGGCGCGGGAGGCGCGGACCAGGCCAGCTGCGCTCGGGGGCCGGCCGGGACGGCCGCGGGATGAGGAAGCGGACGGAGCCGGTCGCCTTGGAGCAGGAGCGCCTCGTCGCCCTGGGCTCGCCTTCCTCCGGCGTGACCGCCCCGGTGCTGGACGCCGACTGCCGCCTGAAGCGCAACTTGCGTTTGGCGGGCAAGGCTCCGGCTGAGCCGCGCTGCGCCGCCGACGCGGGCATGAAGCGGGCGCTGAGCAGGTGAGGTGAGGCCCCTCCATAAGTGACCCGGCCTGCGGGGGCGCCCCGCGCTCTCCCTCCATCCTCCGGAGGCCTCCTCCGACCTCCCGACGTCCTCCCCGCTCCGGTCCCCGAGTCCCTGCATCCCTTTCCCGGGTCCCCGCTACCCGCAGGAGCGCCCGCCCCTGCCAGTCCCCCACCCCCAGCCCCCAAGGTGTCTCCTGGCCCCCACCCATCCGGCCCTCTGAAGCCAGCCCCGCACCCCTGCCCTCTCCCCGGCGAGCCATTAGGGACCCCTTCAGCAGCGAGCTGGACGAGCGTCTCCCAGGGAGATGGAGTGGCCGGGGAATCACGGCTCGGCGCGGGGAGAGGAGGAGGAGGATGGGGGGCGGTGTTCGCTGCGGGAGGGTGGGCGCTGGATCCCCCGAGCTTTGGCTCCACGCGGACCTCCTCCGTCCGCCTCGGACTCAGCCCGGCGCCCCTCTCACGAGGCGGGCGTGCACGGGAGCCGACGGGGTACCTACCTACCTACCCGGTGTCTCACTGAGCGAGTCCGGTAGGGTAGGAGTGGCATTCTCTGCTCAGACCTGCCAGACCTTCGGGGGAAAAGTTCAGTGGGCTGCGGTGTCCAAGGGACGGGAAGGATGCTCTCCGCATTCCCAGCTGCTGGAGGGGAAACCGTCCTTCGCTCTGCAGTTGGCTCCCCAAGGGCTTGACATCTGTCCGCTGGAGTGTGTCTCCTTGGGAATCGCCGTAAGGCCGGGAAATGGTTTGGTTGGGTTTCCCCACCTTTTTTTTTTTTTTTTTTTTTTTTTTTGTAGATAAATACGTTGATGTAAAACTGACTTCAAAATTGAAATAGTGTGGGTAACATGAGCAGATTTCTCTCCCAGCTGGTTTTCTGAACCACCCGGCTGTTTGTAGAATGTATTATCATTCATGGCAGTTTTGAAGTCCTGACGTTTCATGATGTTGGAAGAAGTTGGTGTGTTCTCAGGTGCTGTTATCAGAGTCATTTCCTCCAGGGCAAACTGGAATGCCCTTAATTGACATTGGGCACTTCCGTGTAAAATATTTATTCAGATAGTCCCTAAATATATCAATTTGCCTAAGAGATCAGTACATTTAAAATATGCATGTTTGGATAAATAAAAACAGTAGCTCCTTCAAAATTCAATTTTATGTTTTTAATCACGAAATTAAACTACGTACTCCTCTAAGTAAGTGCTTTCCATAGTCCTAGAAGGTCAGGGAATGACAATATTTTTTATTTTAAAAAAATCATGCTTAGCTTTAGTGCACTTTTATTAACAGGCTTAGTATAGTGCTTAGGCGGGTTGGGAAATTTTTTAAAGAAATCAAATGGTGATGCACAGTGATGTTTGGAGAAACAATGCTGACTTGATACCTTCCTTGAAAAATGTACTGTATTAAAAGGAGTTGTATGGGGGATAAAAGAGACCTTCAAGTGGTGTTCCTGTTCTCTGGATAAACAAAAGGCTGTTAGGGGAATAAAAAGAAAGGCCAAATTTGTGTGTTATACAATGGCTTCCTTTCCTGTTGCCTGTTCTCCCGGGCATTATCCTGCTTTGTTTTCTCCTGTAGCCGGGCCTCTGCTCAACTGTCACCTCCTCGGAGAGGCCTTCCCAAAAGAAAAGAACACATCCAAAAGAGCTTTCATGCCACCTCTAACCCCCTGATTCAGTTTATTTTGTTTTTCATTGCATTTATCCCTTATCTGACCTTGTAATTGCCTGCATACTTGACTTGCTTTGTGGATTGTCTCCTCCCTCATAAGAATGAGAGCAGGGATATTGTTTGCTCCATTTCTCATCTCCAGTGCCTGGCACATAGTAGGTGGGGAGAAAATACTTGCTGAATTAATGACTCAGGTAAATACCTAGAACTAGAATTGCTGGCCAGGGTTGTGTGTTAACTTTGAAAGGTAACGCCAGAGTGCCTTCCCAAGAAGTTGTGGTTTGCCGAAATTGGTCTGGCTCAGTGGTAGAGCGTCGGTCTGCGGACTGAAAGGTCCCAGGTTCGATTCCGGCATGTATGTTGGTTGCAGGCACATCCCTGGTAGCGGGTATGCAAGAGGCAGCTGGTTGGTGTTTCTCTCTCATCGATGTTTCTAGCTCTCTATCCCTCTCCCTTCCTCTTTGTAAAAAAATCAATAAAAATATATTAAAAAAAAAAAAAGAAGAGGTTGTGGTTTGTAACTCCCTCCAGCAGTGTCAGCTGCCACCCCAAATATTGAATAGTATCATCTATTTTTATCTATTTGATTGAAGAAACATCTGATTTGTAGCATTGATTTGCATTTCTTAATTGTGAGCTGGCAATTTTTGTGTGCTTTTATAAGCTGTTATATATACTTCTGAGATTATTTACATCTTTTAAGATCCTTCTTCGTTCGGGGTCCTCCTGCACATTTCTTTTACCTTTATGATGTACATGTTCAAATATACAAAAGCAGAGAAGACGATATAATGAACCTCCATGTATCCATCACTTCATTTCAACAGTTTATCATATTTGTCCATCATGGAATCATTTATTCATCCTTTCCATTTTTTGCAAGATGGGAGACTAGACTATTTTAAAATAAATGATTTCATCTATTAAAATAAATAAAATTATTTCATCTATAAATATTTCATAGTATGTCTTGAACAAATAAGGACTTTTGAGATATAAATAACCCCAATGCTATTATTTATCAAAATTAACAATTTATCTGTAATTAATTTAATAAGATCTAATACTCTACATACATCTTTACAGTTGTCTCAGAAATGTCTTCTTTAGGTTGATTTGTTTTAAAATCCTGTACATTTTCTTAAGTTTATTTCTAGTGTTTTTTTTTGGTTGTGATTTGTAATAGAATCCTCTCTTAAATTACATATGTTATTAGTTGTTATTTACAACTTTATAATTTACAACTTACATAATCTTAATTTCTAGTAATTTTTGCAGTTGGTTCTCTTGGGTTTTCCAGGTACATTATCTTGTCAGCTGCAAGCAATAAGAATTTTGTCCCTTGTTTTCTAATTTACATGTCTCTTGTTTCTTTTTATTATTATTATTATTATATTGCATTTCCAGAACAAGGTTAAATAATAGGGATTATATTGGGTAACATTGTCTTGTTCCTGACTTTAATAAGAATGTTTTTAGCCGAAACCGGTTTGGCTCAGTGGTAGAGCGTCGGTCTGCGGACTGAAAGGTCCCAGGTTTGATTCGGGTCAAGGGCATGTACATTGGTTGCAGGCACATCCCTGGTAGGGGGTGTGCAAGAGCCAGCTGGTCGATGTTTCTCTCTCATCGATGTTTCTAGCTCTCTATCTCTCTCCCTTTCTCTCTGTAAAATATCAGTAAAATATATTTAAAAAAGAGAAAGAATGTTTTTAGTGTTTTTGCCACACTAGTTGTTTTACTAATGGGTGTGTTGCTGTTTTTTTTTGTTTTAATATATTGTATTGATTTTTAAAATATATATTTTATTGATTTTTTTTTTTTTAACAGAGAGGAAGGGAGAGGGATAGAGAGTTAGAAACATCAATGAGAGAGAAACATCGATTGGCTGCCTCCTGCACACCCGTTTCTGGGGATGTGCCCACAACCAAGGTACATGCCCTTGACCAGAATTGAACCTGGGACCCTCTGTCTGCAGGCTGACACTCTATCCACTGAGCCAAACTGGTTAGGGCTGCTGTTTTTTGTTTTTGTTTTTTTAATATATTTTATTGATTTTGTACAGAGAGGCAGGGAGAGAGATAGAGAGCCAGAAACATCGGTGAAAGAGAGTCATCAGTCAGCCGCCTCTTGCACACCCCCCACTGGGGATGTGCCCACAACCAAGGTACATGCCCCTGACCGGAATCGAACCCGGGACCCTTCAGTCCCCAAGCCGACGCTCTATCCATTGAGCCAAACCGGTTTCGTCAGGGCTGCTGTTTTTAAGAAAAAGTGGTTGTTGAATTTTATCAGATGTTGTTTTAACTTCTATGAACTAATCATATAGATTTTTCTCCTTCCATTTCAGTTATAATAATAGACTTTATATTATTGAATTATCATTATTGAATCATCAGTGATAACTTTGTTATTGTTTAGTCAGCTACATTCTATTTATTTTTGTAGTTTAACACTATTATTTGTGAGACTACTCTGTAATTTTCTTTTTAATGTCATTTTAAACAAGTTATTTCAGTATTTTCTATAGCTTTATTAAAAGCGTTTTCTTTCTCTTTGTTAGCCAGTTTAAATACTGTAAAAATGATCTGTTTCTTTAAATTTTGGTAGAATTCCCCTATAAAATTACCTATTTTTTAGAATATAAGCAACTTTAATAACTATTATAGATTCTTATGTTTGTTATTTCTTTCTGGTTCGTTTGGTAATTTATATGTTCATAGAAAATCATTAGTTATGTCCAGATTTTCCTCTGTACGTGGGGCTATTTCCCTAGTCTTGTTCCCCATTTTGTGTAGCTCTCCCCCCCTTGTCAATGTAAGAAACATTAAACTTGTGAAGAATTTTTGTGAGTTTATTTGAGTCAAGCTGTCGACAATTGCTGGGAAGCAAAATCTCAACAGACTGAGATGATGCTCCAGAGAACAGCAGTTTTGCACCTTATTTTTTACATTACCATCAAAAGAGGAGATGTAAGTGGGTTACATGAAATTCATTGGTGATAGATTAGAGAGATGGAAGAAAGCAAAGTGGGGAGACCTCTTGGATTGCATGAAAAGTAAAATGATAGACACATCTTTTACATAGGTGGGTACAGTATAATGATAGACACATGTTTTACAAGGCCTTCTCTGAGCTTGTCAGGTTAGCATGTGGCACCTTTTTGTTCATACAGGTAATAATATACCCACTAGATACGATGCACCTGTTATTGGATAAATCAGTGGGCCAGGTTTCCCAGCACGAGTGGATGTGAGGTTCTTGGGATACTGGAAGTAACATTTTCAGGAGCCCCCATGGAGAATAAGATGTGGTAGAAGGCTTTA